AGCTGGCAGAGGTAGGGGATGACGAAGAAATTCGGGAGGGACGGGCAAAAATTATGAAGCGTCGAGGTTCGAAGGATGGCAGTATCGGGACGGGATCCGGGAGTTAGGAACTAGTGGCAGATGAGCTTGGCTTAAGCTTGGGCCTAGGAGGGACTTAGGATTCGGCTTAGGCTTAGCTTAGGTTAGGTTAAGCACAGACTTAGGCTTCACTTAAGCCTAATAAAAACATTAGGACTATCTAACGGCTTGGATTTGGCTTGAGCTTAAGCTTAGGCTTGATTGCTTAAGTGGTAGGCTTGCTCGCTTAGGACCGGCTTACAATAAGTTGAAGCTGGCCCTAGGATTGGGCTTATGCGTCTTGGCCCTGGGCTTATTGTGAAGCTCAGGATTAGGCTGAGCCTAGGATTAGCTTGGCTTAAGGTTTAGTCTATGGGCTTGGCTGTAGGCTTAAGCTCAGGCTCAGGCTTAGGGGCTTATGGTTAAGCTTCGGGTTCTTTAAACTCCTATAAACTTCAAGCTCGCCAGTTCAACTTCAACTTTGGTCACACCCCGTCTCCCATCCACTTTGCACCCGGTTTGAGTTCTGTTCCGTGGCACTCCATTGTACGGCCCGTTGTTGTGAGGTGCGAAATGGAATCATGGACAGGTTGACGTTGTCACCATAATCCCTTCACGGTCTGCACTCCGTCATGCTCCTTTGGCCGTTTAGTTCGCATGCACTCGGAGCTGCGGCTCATAGCAGGGCAGCGCACCCGTTTTTACACCGACCGGCAAACGTGCCGAGTACAGGGGTGTGCAGGGCCAGGGAGGGGGATTCGGTTTCTGGCCCCTCGAGCCCGGAAAAGTGCAAAAGCCGAAGCAGACCGGAAGTTGTAGGAGGGAAGAGGAAGTGTTTTGTTGCGGACTTCTCGAGGGTGGGAGTTTGTTTTAAAGGGACTGGGAAGGAATGGGAAGTTATGAAACTAGATAAGTCGGCGACTTGGATCTGGGTTTGGGCTTCGGCTTAGGCTTCTGCTTAGGCTTAGGCTTCTGCTTAGGCCGGCTTAGGCTTAGGCTTCGGCTTAGGCTCAGGCTTCTGCTTAGACTCAGCTTCGGCTTCGGCTTAGGCTTAGGCTTCGGCTTCGGCTTATGCTTAGGCTTCTGCTTAGGCTTAGGCTTCGGCTTCGGCTTAGGCTTGAGTAGGTATAGGCGCTTTTCTACAAAAACGTCACTACCGCCGAAAGTTGCAGGTATTCCAAAGTTTGCCAAAGTCGAAGAAACAATTCATAAAAACCAAAAAATATTTTAAAACTTTTTCAAGAGCTTGTGAACGGTACCAAAATTATTCCGATCCGATACTACTGTCCTCGGGAACTTGGAATTGACCAAAAACCGCCGTCAAATAACCGCGCGCTTTCCTGTCAGTCTGACGATTTTATGGGCAGTCAGCCCCTTGGGTTTGTCTCGTGCACCCTAAATTGCGATGCTTTTTGTTAAAGGGGATCAGATGGACCCAGACATATCAGACTATTTGCGGGAGACTGTAAACCGGCTGGCTGAAATTGGCAGGCGGTGGAAGGCGCGTGAGAACCAAGGGATCGTTGTCTGCTTTTGGACTTCTGACTCGAAACTCGCAAAAAATACAGCCCGGCAAAAGCAATTGGCGTTTTAAAGGGGCGCGGAAGATTAAGTTTGAGCATTTTGTGCGGTTTCGCTTTTTTACGCTTGATCGTACCACACAGGCAAGGAGATCGGTTTAAGGCTCGATCGGCTTAATCGGCTTAAGCTGAAGCTTAGGCCTTGGCTTGGGCTTCGTATTAGACGTCAGCCAAGCCTGGCTTTGACTCGATTTTGGGTTTGGAGTTGAGCTCAGCTTGCTTGCCAGCTTAAGCTTAGTTTAGGACAAGCTTATGTTGGCCCCTGCTATCCTTAAACATGGCTTTGGCATTGGGGCAAGCTCGAGCTTACGATCAGGCTTTGGCTTCAGCTTATACTGGTCTTGGGTTGGCTGAAGCTTCGGATTCTACTTTGGCGTAATGTTGAAAAGGGCTTCAGCTCCGCTTGGCTTAGGCTTCACCAAGCCAAGCTCAAGCCAAACCTAAGCCGAGCCCAAGCCAAGCCTAAGCCAATCCCAAGCTTAAGGCTAAGTATCCGATAAAATACGCCAACCTGAGCCGCCGATGCAGATCCGCGCTTGAGCCAAGCCTCGCTTAACCTAATTAAAAGCCCGGTCAGACCTAAGCCAGGCCTAAGCCAGGCCTAGGTTAAGCATCAAATAAACCTAAGCTTAAGCCAGGTTTTTCCTTATTTGAAGCCCAGCCCAATCATAAGCAGCAGCTTGTTTGTTAGCTTGCCACGACCCTAATCTCCGACTTTCGCTATCACCGTGAAAGTGCTGAATGCTTTTCCAGGGATTGCCGCCAGCCATTTGGATCCGCCGTGGACTCGAAATCCGCGAAAATCGCCACCATTTACGGGCATCCCCGGGCGGGGAGGGATGAAAACTTGAACGTGCCCCGTGGTTATAAGAGTTCGAGTCGAGGGCATTTTTGCCGTTTTTTGTGTTCGTCTGGGATCGACGAGTGATTGGCCTGCCGGGGTCCATCGCATTTTTCGCCGTTGCGGGCAGCTTGTCGGCATTTTTCGACGGAGGATTCCTCAAGGAGCTTTGCTGGCTTGTCATTGCGTGAAGCTGGAACCACCGTAACACGATGGCCCTTATTTTCGTCATTTGGAAAGCACCGTAACCAGCCGGTCCTTAACTCGTCATTTGTACGGTAGAGCGTTTCCGATACTACGCGATTAGCTTACTCTACCGGAACTAGTGAGGAATCTACCGTAACCCGGAGTTCCCTACTTATGAAAGTAGCGTATGTATGAGGATCTACCGTAACCTGAAACCCCCGATTTTCGCAAATTGTAATTAGTAGCTTATCGTACCTTTCAGGCGCCCACATATTTTTATACATGCCGAAAACCCAAATTTAAGGTATCCCGTTTAAGTTATTGTTTTTAATATCGTACGCAAGGTCTAATGTATCCTAATACGTGTTCCGTAATTAGGAATTAGGGTGTCGCCCGGGAGATGACGTGTTATTTGCGTAATTTTGGATAGGAAACCACTTAAAATCGGAAATCGATCCCACCATTTTTTATTAGCAAACCCCGTAGCGTATTTTCTATAGCTAGCTACGATTTTTTTCCTCCTTACGAAGCTTGATAGGAATTAGCCGGTTCCTCAACGGCCCTCAGAGTTTGGACCCAGACTTTTTCTGCGCTCATTACAGCCGCCCCATCTTTTTGTGTTGCATCTTCTTTTCGCAGAACCTTGGCCGTTTTTGTGGGTGTCTGCATCAGCACAGTCTCGTCAATCACCCCCTGGTCTCACCCAAATGTTGCAAACGGAACATATGCCCGATGGGGCATTTTTAGAGTTAGTCACCGCTGCATTCATCAAGTTTCTGGGCGGACGGCTCGACCAAACTCCGACGAGTTCACTCGTGGCTTGCGAAGTTGTAGAAGCATTGGTCTAGGCTTCAGCTTAGGCTTAGGCTTAAGGTTAGGCTTAGACCTAAGCTGTCTTGGGCTTCAGCACCCTTAGATTTGAGCATCGAAATAGGCTTGGATTGAGTTTTAGGTTAAGGCAAGTCTGCTCAAGCCTTGGCACCTAACGCTTAGACCTTGACTGCGCCTAGACTTGAGCTTGGGGCTTAGTTTTGACTTGGGCTGCGATTTAGTCAGCTCAGGCTGACGCTTGAGCTGGCTTAGGCAAGGCCTAAGCCTCAACGCGACCTAAGCTTAAGCCTTATACTACGCTTTTTAGCTTCGATTAGCTTTGGAAAGGCTTCGACTTTGCTTCTTTACAATTCATCAAGCATCCCTTTAGAAGTAATTCTCAAATGGTCTCTGCTAGCCTGCCCCGTTTCTCCGAATTTTCTGCTCCTTCATACCTCCTGCATGATCATGCCCAAACCGCCGCGCCATCAAACCCCTGCATGTATCCACATGATCTCTGGACCGCGAGAGAAAGAGAGAGAAAGAGAGAGAGAGAGAGAGAGAGAGAGAGAGAGAGAGAGGTTGAGGCCGGGCCCTCCCTAGGTCCTAAGAGATACGATCTCTCAATCAGCCTCCCGCCCCGAGGGGGATGGCAGACGTGGAGATAGGAATCTGGAGGGGGAATGGGAGGGGAGGAGGAGCATTGTCTCTCCCTCCCCACTCTGGATCATGTGACATTTGCATGGGTCCCCGGCATCCATCATTCGCTACCATATGCCGAGTGGGTTTCCCGGGTCGAATGCTCATAGAATCTTGATAGGGTTTTGGCATAGTTTTAAGCATGGGCTTCGCTTAGGCTTAAGTATAGGCTTATCCTTAGGCTTAAGCTTAGGCTGAAGCTTCGATCAGGCTTAAGCGTAGGCTTAGGCAAAGATTACGCTTAGGCTTAACTGCGGCTTACGCTGCATCTTAGTTTTAGGTTTAGGTGTACGCTTAACTCAGGCTTAGGTTTAAGCTTAGGCTTAGGCTTAGGCTTGGGCTTAGGCTTAGGATTCGGTAGACCCTTGGCCTAAGCTTAGGCTAAGGTGGGCTTTATGCGCAGGCTTAGGTTCAGACTTAGGCATAGGCTTGGGCTTAGGCTTAGGCTTCTTTTAACATAGGATAGAGTTTTGGGTTCAATACCTTTCTTACGATACCTTTTCTAGTTTGATTTGCCCTTTGATCACCTGTACGTGATGATCATACATTACGAATGATCACATGATCATCATGCCGCCCTCGGGGTACCCTTTCGTCATTACGCAAAATGATAATAACCGCCCCCGGGGCGATCCGCGTCATCCCAAACCCCCTATTGCATCCATTCATCCCATTCCATTCCACCTTTGTTGCCTTCCTTCAAAACCATACCTCTTGATTACTGTATTTCTGGGTTACTGTAGCCATATTGCCATTTTGCTGTATTTCATTACCTTATTCCGTGCCAATACCATATACTCGCTCTTAGCACTCATTTTCAGAAAACAATGAAGCTCGCTCTGATCGCCCTCTTCGCCGCCCTGTTTGTCTGCGCCGTGTTCGCCTCCGAAGAGGCCAAGCCGGCCAAGTCGTCCGAGTCCAGCGAAAGTGGGTTTGGTTTTAAGATTTTAAAGGGACTAGAGGAGATGATTCTTGGGCTCCCCGACACTTGCGGCGCGGACACTTGCGGCGCGACACTTGCGGCGCGACACTTGCGGCGCGACACTTGCGGCGCGACATTTGCGGCGCGACACTTGCGGCGCGACACTTGCGGCGCGGACACTTGCGGCCGACACTTGCGGCGCGGTCATTTGCGGCGCGGCACTTGCGGCGCGACATTTGCGGCGCGACACTTGCGGCGCGACACTTGCGGCCGACACTTGCGGCGCGGTCATTTGCGGCGCGGCACTTGCGGCGCGACATTTGCGGCGCGACACTTGCGGCGCGACACTTGCGGCGCGGACACTTGCGGCCGACACTTGCGGCGCGGTCATTTGCGGCGCGGCACTTGCGGCGCGACATTTGCGGCGCGACACTTGCGGCGCGACACTTGCGGCCGACACTTGCGGCGCGGTCATTTGCGGCGCGGCACTTGCGGCGCGACATTTGCGGCGCGACACTTGCGGCGCGACACTTGCGGCCGACACTTGCGGCGCGGTCATTTGCGGCGCGACACTTGCGGCGCGACATTTGCGGCGCGACACTTGCGGCGCGACACTTGCGGCCGACACTTGCGGCGCGGTCATTTGCGGCGCGACACTTGCGGCGCGACACTTGCGCCCGACACTTGCGGCGCAGTATTTATTATTTAAAATGTTGTAAATTTGGCAGTTCTTCGCGGATTTTGTTTGTAATTGTTGTATTTGTGTTCAAAATTAGCAATTTAAAGACCGTTGGAAAGATGGCCGGGCGTCCCCAGGGGTGAGGGACCGACGGGGCGATACCATGCACGCTTTCCATCGCGTAAGGGGCCCCAAAACCCCCAACTGGATTTGCAGAAAACGGGTTGATAGCCATAACTTTTTTGCTTGACTATACTTTTGACTGAAAACTTCCATAAAAATAGTTTATAGCGATCCCCATCGATGGTAAAAATTTGAGGCCGATTGGAACGATGGCTGCCATGTTCTGAGCGAAAAGAGGTTTTTGGGGGCGTTCTTTACTTGAAAAATCGTCGGAAAGGGCATAAAACACTTCAGGAAATTCAGGGAAGACTCACCTTGCCCTTAGCAAGCTTTTCTGTAGGATGTTTCGTTATTATTATTGATAAATAGCTTTGTTTTAAATTGTCGCCTAGTTACGCGCACGAGATGGACCCTAGGGTACTTGGGGCCCCTCCGCCGCCCTCACCCAGTCGACCCCTTTGGTGTGGGGGTACGCGTTGGACTGCGGGGCGGACCATCCCTGGTTCGACCCCCGCCCGGCGCACATCATCTTGCTTTTTGACCGATCCCATCTTTCCAGAGGCCTTTAAACGACCCGCAGTCGGAACGCCCCTGAGGGCCTCAGGCAAGGTGGGCCGTCGCTTCGGATGGGCTGCCGCTCCACTCTTTCTAAATCGGGGCGCCGATTTAGAAACCCTGTACGAGCTCGCACCCATCCGAAGCGACTAGGCCCCGGGTGGCACGAAGCCTTTTTCTAGTCGCAGAGCGGAGGAAGTAGCAGCCACTTTCCCTCCAAATTGAGTGACTTCTGTCGCAAACCCGACCTCTTACAATTTTTTTAATACGAAATTCGGACGCAGCTTATAAAATAACACCTTGAACTATTTTTATATAGCTTATACTAAATAACCTCGAGGTCGCGCCGCAAGTGTCCGCGCCGCAAGTGTCGCGCCGCAAGTGTCGCGCCGCAAGTGTCCGCGCCGCAAGTGTCGCGCCGCAAGTGTCGCGCCGCAAGTGTCCGCGCCGCAAGTGTCGCGCCGCAAGTGTCCGCGCCGCAAGTGTCGCGGTACCGATTCTTGGCCTGTTCAAGGTTAGGCTTTGATTTGGCTTTATGCGTAGGCTTCGGCCAGCTTGGCTTATGTTAGGCTTAGGCTTGGACTTAGGCTTCGCTTAGGGTTGGGCTTAGGCGTACGCTTAGGTTTGGCAAGCCCTAAGGCTAGCTTGTCCTAGACTTAGGGTCAGGCTTAGGATTAGGTTTAAGCTTGGGCTTAGCCTAAGACTTGGCTCAGGCTTAGACTTGGTTTAAGCTTAGGCTTAGGCTTGGGCTTAGACTTGGGCTTTGGCTTACGCCTAGGCTCATAGTTGGCTCAGGCTTGGGATTGAGCTGAGGCATGCGCTTAGGCTTGGCTTGGGCTTAAATTAACCTTAGGCTTAGGTCGAAGAGACGCTTAGGCTTAGGATCATATTCCATTACACAATGAAAAACGGGTCATACGCCTTGTGTGTCACGCACACGAAAAACTCCATAGTGAATCTATAGTTGATAAAACTCTACCTTCGCCTTCCCCATCCCTTTAAATTCCCAATTTCTTAGACCTAGGTTTTTGCGATGAAGTCGCTTGACTCATGGGCCCTCAATCAAGCCATTCGCTCGACCCAGCTGACATGCCAATTGCACCGTTGCTTTTTTAAGGGACGGGATCAGCTGTTGGCCTCAATCGGTCGGGGGCCACCTCACGTGGCATCATGGCCAGAGGAATGTAGAGGAAATGCACGGGGGAGGGGGCATGGTTGATGAGTGTTTGTCTGGCTTGGAAAAATGACTGGGGGCGCTTTTGAGGCAATTTAAAGGGGAAAGGAGGAGCTCGAGAATCGACCCCTGCGCCGACTAGGTCTCGACAGACACCCAGAAACATCTAGAAATTGTCGTGTTCCGACGCGTGACGTCGTTGTCAAGACCTAGTCGACGAAATGGGTCTATTCTGGCGAGTTCCAGCCCCGTTAAAGGGACTGAGGAGTCATGAGGAGATTAAATATTATCAGCGTTTTGGGTCTAACAATCGAAATACAAAAATTTAGGCAAAGAAACCGCCGAAACGAAATCGTCGGTCATCGAGGGAAGCGGCGAAAAGGTGGGAAATTGGCCAAAAATAACTAAATTTCGTCAGCTCTATTTAAGTTTTCAAAAATTCCCGAATAAAATCTAAGAAAACAATATTTAAACTTTGCAATAAATCACTTTCTCCACATTAATAAAACTTTATTTCAACCTTCAATTATAGTATTCATCTAATTTTTGTGTTAAAACTCGACTTCACTTTTTCAGGTGGACGCCGAGATCCTGACAGCGGCCAAGGTGGAAACAGTCGAGGGATCTGGTGCTGCCCCGGAAGCCCCGGTCGAGACCCTGAAGACCCTCCGACTCATCTAAATCCGATAACAAATATGAATCTCAACGCATTCCCTCTGGAACTTTGTCTTTTTGTACAGAATCCATGCCTTTTTTTGGTCGAAACTTTTCTCTCGGAGATCGCAATATCGTCTCGGTCGTTTTTTAATAAATTTCTTTCTTAAGTTGGTGCTTGAAATACACTATTTGCAAAGCAACGAGAACTAGTCATTAGTAATCAAGTCATCTTTGTCATAAATGAGACTAACTAAGCCAAGCGTAAGCCAAGCTAACTTTGATCCTAAACCTACGCTAAGCCGGAACCTAAGCCTCCGCCTAAGCTAACCCAAGCCTAAGCCAAGCCTAAGCCAAGCTTAAAATTAAGCCAAGCTAAGCCGGAACTTAAGCCTAAGCCTAAGCCTAAAGCCAAGCTAAGCCGGAACCTAACATTAAGCCTAGAGTTTAAATATCCCAAAGCTGGCTTAAAGCTTAAAAGCCTGACCTAAAACTAATCCGCCTAAGCCTAAACCAAAGATTCTTTCCTGATTCCGTTTTTCCCTCAATTTCGAAAAGCCCCCTCTCCTCAAAAATTTCTCCGCATGCGCGAAACCAGCAGATGACCACACCCCAGAGATGACTCACCCCCTTTTCGCAACGTCGCTGAAATAAGAGCGAAAAAATCAGGTCTTTCTTATACGCTTTCATAAGCAAAAATCCAATTTAAACAAGTAATCTCAAAGCAGCTTTAACATGAATTTTTCACTGCTAACAGGATGATAATTTAGCCATCGTGGTGCTTGTTGTGGGGTTTGTGGCCGGTCGATACTTCTCTCACATTTTTTGTGCTTTCTCTCTCTCTCTCTCTCTCTCTCTCTCTCTCTCTCCTTTTCACATCGTCGTCGCGCCGGGGCAAATAATACCCAACCCAACGCCGGCACGAACTCGCCATTTTCCAACATTTTCCGGGTCATTTTTGTAGTTTTTATAGCCTTAAATCCAGTATATTTCGTAAACACTCGGCTTGCTCATATAGTAGCTATTTTAATGGGTTTATTTACACAATTCAAATAGTTTAAATTAGTGTTTGTAGTGTATTATTCTAATTTTTGATTTTTTTTAATTTTCCTGACCTTGCTAGCCTTACATTTTGTCAATTATCAATTTTGTCGTTAATTCGTTACAAAATTTCTCTACAAACGTCTTCGTCCAACTCATTTTCAGGTATCGGGCCCAGTTTTTCCACAGAAAAAACCTATTTAATGTCCCAACCGCCGCCCTATTATAATCAGCAGCCGGTGAGTGTTTTTGTACGTAATTTTCTACTTAATTACTACTCCTAGCAATCGATTGCTATTTTTATACATTGAATTCTAACTTTTTCTACCTTTTTTTAGGGCTTCAACCCGCAGCCCTACAATCCCTATAACCAGCAGGCTGCCCCCTACCCGGCCGGATACTCAAATCAACCCCAGCCGCAAATTATGTAAGTTGCACAAGCTTTTTTTTGAGTTTTTGATGCGCATATTCTTAAATAGCCTTATGTAACACAACGCTATTTTACGATTTTTATGGCGGAAAATCAGCAAAAAAACGAATTAGCGGACATTTATGGTTTCAAAAAGGGTAGAGCTAGCTTTAAAAAGATTAAAATTAACTTGTACACTTAATGGTTATGGAGCAAAATCTGAAAAATAGTTAAATCATTAACTTTAAAGGTTTTAAAAAGCGCAGAACTAACTTTAGAACGTCTAAATTAGCTGTTAAAGTTAATTTGCGTAGTCAATTCAAGAAAACCATCTATTAAATAAGAGTTGAAAGTTTAAAAGCATAAAACTATATTATGAAAAGTTAATATTGACTATTAAAGCCCAATACTTAATGTTTTAAAAACTCCTTATAAACACCCGTTTTCAGCTATCGTGAAGCGCCGCGGCGGAACGACTCGTGGCCGGGCGACGATTGCTGCTGCAAATGGCTGGCCACGCTAGCTTGTGGCTGTTTGCTTGGAGAGATGTTCTGTGATGGGCCATGTTTGTGTTGTTATATCCCCATTCCGTGTCCGCGGTTTGGCCGAAGATAATCCAGGCTGGAAAAATACCAAAAATTCACTTTTCCTACGCGTTTAACTTCCCGAAATCCGCCCGAAAACCCAGAAAAAAGATTATTGTTTAACCGAACTTCTGTTGATTCACTTTACCGCCCCGAATCTCAGTTATTAGGTTGTGCTTTTGGAACAGATCTGAGATTATTGCATATATACATACTTATTACACGTGTACATAGCGATAAACCGTTGCTCATCAATTCTTCGATGGACCTAGTTTTTATAAAAGTCCAGGAAATGCTTATAGCGTAATAGTACGTATTTTAAAGGAATTTTAAGTAAAATATGAATATGTTGAAGTGGCAAAACTATCTAAAATACTTTTCAAGATTTTTTAAAATTCGAAATTTTGGTCGTAAAATGTTATTTTTGCATTATTTAATCAAATTTGTAAGTTCTTTGCGTTTAGAAATAGTACAAACGCTTTAGAAACGTCTACTTCCATTTAATGCAACTTCATTTCAACTGGAAGAACTATCTAACAAACCTTTAAAGAATGTAAAAAAATCGAAATTTTGGTAGAAAAATCCATATTTGTATTCTTTCATGAAAATTGTAAGGTTTTTGGGTATAGAAATAGCAAAAAAAACTATTTAGAAACACTTCCCCTCTTTATAAAGGAAAAGTTCGATGCTAAAGAAAAATAAATGGTAAGAAATCGTTGTTTTTTAATTGTTTTGTTTGTTTTTACGTTTTGAAAAAATTTTTGACGTTTTGCAGCGATTTTAAGACTTCAAACAATTCGCCAGGGTCGAAAAACTAGACGCTCCTAACCTAATTTTTCAGCTTTCCGTTGAAAAATTCCGAGCCAAACCCTACGTACACCATTTTCCAACAGCACCCGTCAACCCAGCCCGAATTTCCATGGAAATTGGTGACCCGCGGGCAGTTGGGGCGAGAGAGCGCCGAAAAATGGGTCCCACTACGTCGATTAGGAAATTCGGCCGGCGGGGCCAGGGTGGGGGGCCCAATTTCGGTGGGCCTCATTGGTGGGGGGCCCTGGACGCGGCAGATGGCCCACCACCCTCACACATACTAGACACCCTCTACCACCAAAAGCCCAATGCCACCAATCCCCCCACTAAATCCATCCCAGCCAGTCAGTAGGAGCCTAGGGGAACATTTAGGGGATAAAGAAGAGGTTGCCTTGTGATTAGTCAGCGAGCGCCTTGTTGCATTCCTTGCGTTAGTCATCGAATTCTTGTTATGCCATTATCGCAGTTTATCGCTCCGGGGGCTCGGTTTCTGGGATCCGGGTTCTTGGGCATTATCGAGGGGAAAACAGCTTTTTATAAGGATTCAATTTTCTGATATAGATAGAAAAAGTGTTCCTACGCTTTTTACTATTTCTGCACATACAAACGTTACAAATTTTTGAGTAAAAAATACAAAAATAGCGATTTTTCGACCAAAAATGGCTGATTTATGTAATGTAATAGCAAAATTTAACTATAAATTATCCATAAAATATAGTCCAATTTTACTGCCTTTTACTATTCACGAGCTACAAATAAAAACAAAAATTGCCATTAAAATTCAACCCACCTTGATATTCATAAAACATCTAATTTTTCCCATCCGAAAATAACTTATTTTTTCGCTAAAAACACCACTAGAATAATCCCTACTAGGTATATCTAGATTTAGCAGAAAATTTCGATCACCTCCCCCCGGATAATGCAAAACAACCGGTAAACTGGTTTAAAGGAGCGCCGCGTTTTCAAAATCCCAGTCCAAGGCGCTAGCTAATACATTTTAACCTTTTTCCTCTACTTATTAACTTTTTTTTGTATCTAAGTAGCTCTTACTGCTACATTATCGTAACTAACGTTCCAGCGTATATCCACCCCTTCTTCTATCGGCTTTTGAGCCACTTTTAAGCGGTCCGTTCAGGCCCCAAAGCCCCCTACCCTCCCATTTTTTATCCTACCTGTTCGCCGACCATTGTTGGGGGTTCGCGCCGGTTTCGCTCCACCACCAAATTCCTGCCTGGCGCTTAGCACGATTGAAACGGCAATCGTATTGAGGATGGGCGCGCGTGCGCAAGCCTCATCCTCGAATATTCCACCTCGCTCCTCTGGACGGTGCTCGCGCGCGGCTCTCGCGCTGTGCGGGACGGGGTGGTGGTGGAGAACGAGTTCCTGCTCGTCTTAGCCCCAAGTGCCTCCCTCCTTTTCCTCACCTCTCTTCACGATATCTTCTAGGCCGGAGGGCGGGGGTGAGATGTTTGTTGGCCGTGGCTTTCTCGTGCCTTATTACGGCACCATCTCACCCATCGTCGTGCCGCAACAATCCTCCCATTGCCGCAAGTATTCTGTGACCCGTTCCTGTAATAATAGCAGGGGCAATTAGAAAAATTATTATTTAGCTTTTTCCTCGCTTCCGCAAACTCCAAATTTCCCTAAAGAAGGTTTAAAAAGCCTGAAACTATGATATTCATAACAGCTGACAGACTTTTGTTTAGTTTTAATGTTTCTCAAGCTTGAAATCGACTATAAATTATTAAAATACATCGAGAGTCGATTAAAAACAAATTAAAAACTCGAATGAGTTCCCTTAAACTAGGTTATTTATTTTGCTATAGTTCTCGAATTAAAAAAACCATCACAGAACGCTAAAACCTCCAGCTATCCGTTTTTACGAGCTTTTTCCAAGCCGTAAATCAATCAAGACCATTGTCATTCATTCCCCTCCCGAAATTCCCGCCCACAAATCCGCTTCAACCCCGGCGGTGCCATAATCACGGCGAGCGTGAATGGCCGGTGCTGATTATAACGGAAAAAGGGGGCGCCGGGATGCGGAATCGGGTTGAGGGCTCGACGGAAGGGCGGCTCCCCCACCGTCGCATCACTATCGCAAACACGCGCCCAGCGCGGGGGCATGCGAACGAGCCTATTGTGTCCCACCTCTTCGCGAAGGCCACCCCCCACCCGCGACTCTTTTTGCGCGCGACGATCCCGCAAATCTTTTGCTATCTGTTTTTCCTTTTCTTTTTGCCGCCGAACGAATTTTCGCGCCAAATGAATGTTGCGGCGCCTGCAGCGATTAATCATCGGCCCCCACCGCTCAAAAGCCAATGTTATGGTTTCGCAGGGCAGCCGGCAACGTTTCTTCTAAAATAACGGAAATTTGGCGAAAAGCGAAATAGCTAACTCCGGATGCACCATCAGCACGGTTGAGCGTCTATTGGAGCGTTCGGAACGGACTTTTGCGCAGAAATTTGTTTCTTTCAAAAAAAGCTTATCAAATTAGTTCACAAGCGTGTACGCTTTTACACGTGTTTCTCAAATCAAACATTTTCATCGAAAAAAAAATCAAAAAAATTAGGGTTGAAAAGGAAGAAAGTTTTCAACTCTGGTCCCGTTTAGCGAATGTCGGTTCGCCCGCTTTTTAATGCATTTCTTCTAACATAGCCCGAAAAATCACTCTTTCTACGCATAAAGTATACTCTGATACCTTAAATTATAATTTAGGATATATTATTGCATAGTTCATAACGTTTATTATTATAAAAGATTTTGAGGCCAAGGATAATGCAAATGGTGCTATTTTTGCGCCGACATCTTTCTTTTTTTGCTGAAAAACTCGCTGTGTCGCGCCCTTTCAACAACCACCCACTCTCTTTTCCCGCGCGATGAAAATCCCGGCATCACCATATATTTGGGCACCTGAATGCCCCCCATCCCCGCATCGACCCACAAACAACTGTCCCCCCGGGTCTTGCTTGCGTGAATCATGCTACCTGTGCCTCGATTCGGGGAATCGGTTCTTATCGCTTTCCCCTCCACCCGCTTTTATGACCAGCTCGCGGCCCTCAGCCCCGCTTGAATCATTCGCCGGCTCCGAGCCTTGATGACTTGGCCCCGAATTCGATCGACCTCGCCCTATAAGTCCGGCATCAAGATTCTATCTATCTGGTTGCTTCCGCCCTGGTGGCGCGCCGCCTCCTCGTCACCCCTTGGCGCGCGCCATATGCTTTAGCATATGTGAGATGTGCCCTGGATTATAAACTAGCCTCCCGCTAACTGACACACTCCCACCAAATTTTGGCGAATGAGCGTTGAGACCGTTTTTTTCTAGTTTTGACGATATCGATTTAGGCAATAGTTTCGGATTGGGATAGTGCGCGAGAAGATCTGGTGCGTCTATAGAAGCTCGTTCTGAACGATCTGATGTACGAGTGGCCTCGTTGTAGCGACCCTCGCGAATTTCCGAGGCCAAACTCGGGTTATGTTTGCCCGAAAAACATGCCTCCGCAACGCCACGCCCCTTCGAAAGGTTGCGCTCACGCATGCATCGATTTCTCCCAGTCATTATTGTCAAAACAGGAGCTACGCGCGTTGTTCTCCCTTTTTGCCCGGGGCTAAAAGCACACTCTAAAAGACAGTGGGATTGATTCGCCTCCGGGATGACTCATGGCTGGGCAGCCCTCGATTTCAGCGTCTCGGCCCGGTTAGTCACCCCTCAGAATGGGTTCATTTTTGGTGATCTCAAAGTGGGTCCAAGTTCAGGCTAGATTCAGAATTATAAGCGCTATCTTGCAATTTTTATATTAGTCATCGAAACCTTTGCCGAAGTATTTCATGACATTAACTTGCCAGACTGCCAGCCTAAAATTTTTCACATTTCCTCCTAGGAATCCTTGCCCGTTCCCGCCTAATGTTGTCTGGCGATTCATCGAGACGAAATGAAACACGATGACTGGCCAGATACAATAATTTCGCGGCCGGGACAGCCTTCTTCCTGGAGCCGTCGAGGACCCTCTCGAATTCACCGATGTTCCGTGGGGGCCCCCGGCCGCGTACCGCCTATTTTGGGCTTTCAAACGGGGGCTGCGCGGGTTTTTTCGGCCATGTGTGCGCTGCGAGCCGCCCGTTGGCCATGCTACCTGCGCGAAAATTCGATACCTCATCGCTGTCTTTTCGCCCCCTTCCGTATCGGGGTTTAGGTAACCATACGATGATTCAGGCATGATTCAATTACTATAATGCTCCCGTTTTTCTAACAATTCTGACTCCTGGGTTTCAGGATTTTCTAGTGTCTACTTATTTGCCCTTACATTTTCCAGCCTATGACATTTAGTAGCTCTTTCTGGGCATAACGTGCTGATGTCTACGCCTAGCTCTGCCCTGATCGGCTTGATAACGATGCCCGCAACTTGCCTGGACGATATTTCTTTTCTGCTTTTCTGCCATGCGGCCCTTCCTCCTCCAAAGGGGTGATTCCTTTTATTTTAGCGCTTAGATTGTTGCTATTTGCCCGAGAGGGCGCACGGGCACATCATAAGTTTCATCGTGTTTTCCCTTTCAGTCGATCGGGCGCCTATTTTCAGATTAACCGCTCGCCTAGTAGCCATGCCCTCACCCCCCGACCGAGGTTTCCTTCGGCTATTCGCGTAAATAGGCGCGCATCCGGCTCTGACTCAGCAGAACACTCGAACTGATTCATCCCTGGATATAACACAGCCCTCTCCGCGCTGTTTACCTTCGCTTCGCTGCTTTCTTGTTTTCATATCCTACCATTTTCTTGCCAAATTGCGACCACTGCTTTGACCTATATTACCGTACCGACCTATACGCACCTTGGCCTCTATTTGACGTTTTGCTTAGGCTCGACCTCTTCAGCTATTGCTTGTCGCGTTGATAAGCGAGTGGAGGCCCTATTTGAACAGCTCCTTTTCGCAGCGTTTGTTTTCCGTTCTTTTCCGTGTGAAACCTCGGGGTTAAACTCACCATAAATTCCCATTTGCAGGTGACGCCTCAACATGTTAAACAGTGAACAACTTGAGGAACTATCTGAACGCTTTAAGACGGTATTAATATTCTATCCAGTGATATATGGTGTTTTTAGATCACATCAGATGGACGGGGGCATCTGGAAAGGCACGAGATCGGTGATGCTCTAAAAGTCCTTGGAATCGATTTGGCGGGTTATCAAGTAAGGTTTCCTTCTCCTTTTGTCAATGATTGTTTAGCTCCGCGACCGGTTGACCCAATCAGGCCTTGGAAACACCACAGAAGTATCACTCAATGACTTCACAAAGCTTTACAATGAGCTCGCCGATGAGAAGAGCAAACCCACAAAGGATTGGGGGAAACGGATGGGGTAATTTTCTTGAACCGTTTCGTTTCAGCCGTTGACTTCTGATTTTAAGGTCATCGGGCAAATCTGTTAGGTCTGTTTTCCTTCCAAGTGCGAGACAAACGCGGATTTTTTGACTCTCCATACGCAACTCCTAAAAAGCTTTAATCCTTGCTTACTGATTTTCGTTTCAATATTTTGTTCTTTCAGGTCTGTCGTCCAAGATGCCTACCAAGTTGCCGGTGGAGCCGACGACGGCACGGTGCACACGATTCGGCACGAAGAGGAAGTTGCCTTCGCCAACTGGATCAACTCAAATCTCGGGTCAGACGCCGACCTCAAGCGACTATTGCCCGTTACGCCAATTGCCGGCGATCTGTACACAAAAGTCCAGGATGGCCTCATCCTTTGGTACGCGTTTTTTTTAAACCCTTTACGTTCCTCTTTAGTAAATTGATCAACTTGGCCGTTCCGGATACGATAGACGAGCGGGCCATCAATAAGAAGAATCTAAACACCTATACCAAGCTCGAGAATTTGACGCTATCCCTAATGTCGGCTCAAGCTATTGGTGAGTTCATGTCTTTGTATATGATGTTCGCATTTAGGCGTGAACATTGTCAACATTGGAAATGTGGATCTATCAAATGGGACTCCACATCTTGTTCTCGGCCTGCTTTGGCAGATTATCAGGGTCAGTATCTTTAAATTTGCTAGTACATCTTTTTTAGATTGGTCTTTTTAATCAAATCGATCTTCACCACGTGCCCGGGCTCTTCCGTTTGATGCGAGAGGGTGAAACGCTGGACGACTTGAGGCGGTTGACGCCAGAAGAGATCCTGATGCGATGGGTCAACTACCACCTCGAGCGGGTGATTTTTAGCTTGATAATTCTTATAACGAGATTCTTTCGAATTGAATCTACGAGAAATTGTTCTGAAACCCTCGTTTCGCTGGGATTCTATGAAAAAAAAAACTCCCCGATTTCAGGCCGGTATCCAACGGCGGATGACCAATTTCCAAGGAGACATCAAAGACTCGGAAATTTACACACACCTACTCCACCAAATCGCGCCGCAAGGGACCGGCGTCTCATTGAGCCCTCTATCTGTGCAGGTAATTTTGAGCGTCTTGTGCCAAACCTTTTTTAGGGCAATGTAAACCGAGCGGACGCTATGCTCAACGAGGCCGAGAAGCTCGATTGCCGCGAGTTCGTCACTCCCAACGATGTGGCGGCCGGGAATCCCAAGCTCAACCTGGCCTTCGTCGCTAATCTTTTCAACAAGTACCCTGCGTTGCCCGACCCCGGTGCCGATGAGATGCGTGGGTTATTTTGTTATTTGGTTTGATCGTTACTGGGGAAAAGTAATAGCCTCGAAACGTCTTTTGTGTTTAATTTGGGGTATGCATCTATTTTCTTACATTAACTGGTAAATTCTAAACGTTTTTTTTGCAGCTGAAGAAGAAGTGGTCGAGGAGACGCGTGAGGAGAAGACCTACCGAAACTGGATGAATTCGATGGGAGTTAAGCCATACGTCAACTGGCTGTACGCTGACCTGAACAATGGCTGCGTCATCTTCCAGGTATATTTATTATATTTTTTTAAGAAGCAATGTGTTGTTTAGTTGTACGACATCATCAAGCCAGGCATCGTCCATTGGAAGCAGGTGGTGAAGGTGTTCCACAAGCTCCGCGGAATGATGGATCAGATCCAGGTGAGTACGAACTGTTGTAGATAAACCTAAATTGGTGTTTTAGAATTGCAATTATGCCGTTGAACTGGGCAAGCAGCTGCGCTTCTCGTTAGTCGGCATCCAGGGCAAGGACATCTACGACGGAAATCCGACGCTTACTTTGGGTACGGTTTCGTGGATTTTCGCTTGTTTCTGTTTATTTTAATTGTTAATTTGTTGATAATAAGAAATTTCAGCTCTCGTCTGGCAATTGATGCGGGCGTATACCCTGACGGTCCTGGCTGCTTGCACGCAAAGTGGGGACAGCCTGCCAGCCGACAAGGAAATTGTCGCATGGGTTAACCAGAAGGTAAATTTGTCAGTATCCATCCGAACCTATGTGCTTTTAGCTCGCATCCCAGGGCAAGTCATCGTCGATCAAGTCCTTCCAAGATTCCTCCATCTCGGATGGGCGAGTCGTGCTCGACCTTATCGACGCTATCAAGCCCAACGTCATCGACCACAGTCTTGGTAGGCGAACTTCAGAATTCTTATATTATTCTTGTTCATGTTGGACACTTATTTTTTCTGAAATCAGGCTGATCTGAAAATTATGTCATGCAATTCCGTTCAAAAAAGATTACCAAAGACGTGTGGTAAAGCTTTTGACAACTGGTAAGATAGGAAACTTTATTGATTGGGAAATAACGTTATTTTATTTTTACTTTTAGTAAAATCCGGCGGCAGCCAAAGCGAAAATATGGAGAATGCGAAGTACGCTATCACCTGCGGGCGCAAGATTGGAGCAAAGATCTACGCATTGCCGGAGGATATCGTTGAGGTAGATTTGATTTTTTTTGTCCCTTCACCAAATCCTTTTTTTAGGTCAAGCCAAAGATGGTGATGACGGTTTTCGCGTGCTTGATGGCACGAGACTACCTGCCGGACATGCGGGAAGCAGCTGAACCCACGCCCGCTGCCCCCAACGGACTCAACGGACACTACGATGCGTACGCCGAATAGACACCACCCTCCCGCACACGTACAATTCCAACCTATATCATGGTCTTCGCAAGCTTCCCCCAAACCTTTCTCTGACCTCACAAGGGGTGTTCCTTCGATGTTGTGTCATTAATTCTCGTTCACTTAACAGTCCACCCATCCTCAATCATTCTCTCGCTGTACCCTGTGATTGCTTTAAGAAATCCGATCAAAACGCCCTTCTTGTTTATATTTATAGAATTAACTGTATGGCTATGGAATCCACTTTGCCCCCGGCCCCTTGCTGTGTGTTGCTCCAAATCAAAGTGCCCGGTTTGAACAAAATAGTCCACATTTTGTTGTCTCGGCAATGCGCGCTGCTCTTCCTGTGTTTTCCCCTCGGCCCTCGCTTCGTCGCATCAAGCGTTGCGGTCCCTGATTTTCCCCCCACCGCCTTCTTCTATTAATCGTCGGTGATTGTGAATCGCTTTTGCTGAATGAAGGGGCGAAATACAAAGTGCGAAACTTGTGTGGGACGGTGTAAATTTGAAACTGCAGAGGATACCCACCTACAATATGCCTAACAGAGCAACATAAAATTTTCGACGAACAATTTTAAGTCGTCGTGGCCGTCCTAACCGCTTTAGGTTCTGGGCTTTGTTTCCAGGGATTTACGGATGCGATGCATTGCAGATTTTTGAGCAGAAATGGTGGTTGCAGGTGGCTTTGCTTTTCGAATCCGTAGATTTCGCGAAAATTTCATTTAGGCTTCTGGACACCTTAGGTTTTGCTTATGTAACCGTAACCATGAACAGGGACTAGTTATCTTTCCATTATGCCAATTTTTTGGCGGTTTAGCCATCCAGCGGTCTCTTTGGCGGCGCGATACTGACTGGGCGGGGCGTTCAAAAGTGGCGTCCGACCGTTTGAAGGCGCGCCCCCCAGGGGGGGCGAGTGTCTCGATTTGAATGAGCCGGTGTTGGGAGACCCCCCTAGCCTGCCTCCTCCCATCCTCGACAGTTGAAAGGAGCCGATGGTGACCTCCGGCACCCGGCCTCACGGCCCATACCACCCACATCCCCCTGCGACATAGATTACTCGCGTGTACATGGGTAACCGCGTTATGCCACCATTTTTTGGCACTACTGCGATCAGGGCGCGCTTGATTCCGATCGGATGGCATCCCAAATTTTTTGGACAACTTTAGATTAACTTCAAGACCCGGTTGCCAGGGCTGAAGTTATCTAATGCTTCAAATGACGCCGACTCCCGTTTAGTTGCCCTAGTGGACGCCACGATCGGGCTCTTTTTTCAAAGTCGCCGCCTTCGACTCGCACCCCTGGACAAACCTGCCGATTAGATCTCCGAAACAAGCCGGTTGCGGGGGCGTGCACAAATTTGCGCCGTTTTTCGCAGTTTCTGCTGACCTGCGTACCATCCCTCCATAGTTCCATATTTTCAACTGACATACCTCCGTCACGCACACTTTAGATAAGCCCGGGCTCCTTTTTCCTGATTAGAGGTTGCTGCGGTGTGTTGAAGTCGATAGGCGCTTGTCCTTTGCCCCCAACACATTCCTTTATCCTCTTGAAAAATTTCGCCATTGTTGAGAGGTTGGAGCTTCTCAATATTAGGGAGGACTTGCGATTCTGGTTCTGGTTCGTTAGCGGTGGGGGGGAGGGGCAATATCCTTTATTCTGATTGACCTTCAGATTCATAAAGCGTAGGCAATTTTTGTTGTGTCTTTAGTGGTTTCCAATATACAAAAAAAAATTTCTCACTTCCACTCCGATTTGCTTTCTAATCGATCAGCGCCTAATTGGCTAGGCCACGGATATAGATCGACAGTCCGAGTTGACATAATGCTTCCCTTTTCCCTTTGATTTTGTGGCTGTCGGGGTGTCTTTTTGGCTGCCCACATCAAAGCCCGACTCCGCCGCGCAATGCCCGAGGCCACGGTCCCATCTGCAGGGACACGCCGATGGGGCAATTGTGTGCTGAGAGCGGCGCCCTTTTTTGACAGCCCCCAGGTATCGTTCTCACACCACTTCCAGCAGCATCTGCAGCTCGAGTGACATTAACGTAACGTCGGTGTTTTTGTTATCGGTACATGATCCGTTTGTTCGACCCCTTATCCCCTAATCCTTGACTTCCGTCTCCTTTGGCCTAGTTTTTGGTTCTGTATTTAATTCAAATTCCCCTCTAAGAACCCTACTCAACACAGACCATTTAGTTTTTTCGATTTTGACATTACTCGTCCCAAAAAAAAATCATTAGGCCTTCCCAAACAGTTCCAAACCCCCCGTTCAGAACCCGACATCTTCCTGATATTTGACCTTTTCTACTCCTCTACATTGAATCACTAATTCTTGCCAGGACTCCTTGAAGCCCTTCTCCACGTTGCTCACACACACGCTGCCGAAATACCAGACCATTCCTTTTTTTCGCGCGCGGAACGGCGATTTTTGTGTAAGAAGGGGGTTTACGGGGCTGCGGCACCGCTTTGATCCCGACATTTTGGGCCGGCCGCTGGGCGCAAAGTTGGGATACGGGGCTCGGGAACGAGGCTCTCCCTGAAAAATTTAAACCAGACGGGCTCTGTTTTTCTGCTGTTTCGATGCCGATTTCACGGGTTTATCCCATTTTTTAGACTTCACAACAGCGATTTGGCATTTCCATAGGATTGTGGTCAGGCTAAAACTTCCTGCGAACTATCCTCGCTGCTCATCCCCTAATGCGATGTATTATTTACCCGGAGCGTGTGTGGCCTGGTATGTATATGTGATCCGGGGGATGAGCGAGTGAAGAGCCCCTTCTTACTGCCAATAGCAGGGGCTAACCCTTCGTGTCAACCAACCCTCTGGCCCCTGCTACTCACCGCCGCCGCACCCTCTTACTCAAATAGGATCGAGGCGCGCGCCCCTTCCTTGTATGCCCCCGTTCATCTTGCTACTGGTCTTGTCAATAACATGTCATCCTATCGCTCCACTTTGACACTTTCGGCTATCAAACTATCGGAGCGGATTTTCCGCTGTCATTGGCTCTACCTTGCGATTTCAGTGTTGTTTTCATTCTCATTTTTTCGTTAGCTTCACATTTCTGGATATCTTTTCTAATCCCTGAATTCCAGATGTCCTCTTTCCTCAAGGGGCTTTTCGGCAAGAAAGACAAGCACCGCAACCATTACGAGGACAAGGAAAACGATGATGACCTCGACCGCACCGCCCAACGTCAACAATTCAATGGCCGCAGAGGCGCTCCCGATAGAAGATCGGCTAGGTGGGTTCTTAAAAAGATCTTTAATTATTTCCGTTCCAGGTATTACGATAATTTCACCGGTGAAACCTCCTGCTACTCCAATGCTCTGGCTGCACCACGCACCTACAAAAAAGGCACCAAAACGGAGCCGATCTTGACTCGAGGAGAGGCAAGTTTATGATAGTTATGATCATCACTTTGTTGTTTTTAGGACGACTTATCCCCTCTGAATCGCTCGCGGCACACCGAATTTGACTATGGGCCGGCCCCGGTCTCGGCAATGTCGAGGGCGCACGATCGGCACAGCCAAGTAAGAGCGTTTTTCCGATCCGATTTGACAATATTAAAAATCAAGATATAAACTTTTTTAGCGAGAGCGCCGCGGGCGACGTCATGAAGAAGCTCGCGTCTCCATGCAAGCGCGCTTGTTGAGCAGTGATGACGAGGAGCCCTATCCGACCCCGGAAAAGATGGCGGTAATTGATTTGGAGCCCACATAAATGCCAATCTTTTTTAGCAACTAATAAAGACGAATCGGCGGTTAGAGGAGCGATTAGTCGAGTACAAGACGCGGTTGAGGCAGAAGAATACTAATGAAGCGGTGCGTCACGTTTTCCATCAGGCTTTCCAGCGCTGCTTTTTTTGGTCAATTATGCTTTTTAGGTGTTGACGGAGAAAATCCAGTCTCTCGAGCATCAGGTCCGGAACTTAAAAAAGGAGAACCGGCGATTAGAGCAAGTAAGAATCCCGATCTAACCCGTTATAATCGTTTTTTTAGGAAGGTCAACTCGGTCAATACCGAAACCTGCCCATGAACGTCTCACATCAGCCACACCCGGTAGGGTTTTTTTCTATAGCTAGCTTTTTTGCACTGGTTTTAGCGTAGAATCTTAGTCTAAAAATTCGCTGTTTAAACGATTTCTTTGCAGTTGATCTATGGGGGACGGCTCCGCGACGAGAATACGCCAAGCACGTCAGCCCTGGAGAGCATTACCGGTGCGGGTTCGTCATCTTTATTCATGTCACTGGAGAGGTTTAGGTGAATCGATGACCAGCCAGTCGGACTACCCCGTCTCCCTTGCCCACTCCCATCCGTTCCACGATGCTGTGAATCGCCAGACGCGCATCAGCAACTTCCCGACGAGCCCGATGGGCCACGCTGAGGTACCGTCTTTTCACTATCGTTGTTAGTCGGTAATGTATGGAATCTTGCAACGAGATATAGGTACAGTGTTCGAGAAATGGACCATTTTCGCCATTTTTTGGTCTCATGAAAATTCAACCATTGTAGCGCAGTTTCTGATACGGTAATCGTTCGGTTTGGGTGTTTGTTCAGCGGCATTCATTTTTTGAGAAATAGGACTGTTTCGGAGTTTGAAACAATCTAAGCATGTCTCGTTTGAAAAGCAAAATCAGAGTATTCCCTTGAGCGAAAAAAGCTGGGGGTTTTGTTCATAATCCACCGCCAATTTCAGCCCCACTTCGCACAGCCACCCTACGCCCCAACTGGCGCCATGCTCGGCAACGCCTTCACCAACATTAACGGCAACAACACTCCGATGTTCACACCGACCACCCACGACCATGGGCACAACATCACGCTCGGGAATGAAGAGACACCAGAGAGGAACCTCTTCAGCGAGGAGACCGACGAGATGAAGTTGTTTCGGTTGGTTTTTATTTTGACCACGAGATCGAGCAGGATCTGTGGATTTACCATAGAAAATCTATCGAATTCTTGTTTTTCAGGCTGACCCCATCGCACCGGGCAAAGTCTCTGGAAACCGCGCCTCCTGGATTCGAACAACCTCGAGACGGGCAGGGCACCGGCGCACACGACTTGAGCAACGTAGCCCCGAATGAAGTTAGTTGGCTCCCGAAAGAATTGTTGAGACCCTATTAGGCCCTTTAGATAGGTCTTTCAAAGTCATTTCTCGCTGGGGCTAAGGATATCAAATTGATATCGAAAAATTAGGGGTACTGTCAAATTGGAACATTTTGGTCGAAATTTCGAGCATCCAGAGTCTTGCGCCTCCGCACTGTTGATCGCGTGAAAATAAATGAAGCTTATCCCCCAGATTCAAACCAAAATCCCTCGCATCAACTCCCCTTTCTCTTCTAGGTCTTGACGACGTTTTCCAGTCATGGGGATCTTGGGCTAAACCACCTTTGGTATGGCCCCTAGTGTATCCATATACACACACTTTTCTAGATCCTCGACGACGGCTACAGCACGGCATCCACCTCGAAAACTGTCGTCCCCGCCGAGCTGCCGCAGACGCCAAGGCGGCGCAGAAGTTTGTCCACCGGAAATCTGACGCCGCTCGCACCCACCATGTGAATCGATTGTTTACGGGTCGTTTTCCGCTTATTATCCCTTTCCCCTGACTATTATTTCTTCATGTGCTGGTGACATTGATATGTTCTTTATATTTTTCGTTCCCAAATATTCTTAATTTGTATTTGCAGTAGTGTGTTGAGCTCAGCTTGTCTTAAATATGACCGTTTCCTCCTCGGCCGCGATTCCCGCCTACAAGCTGCTACCAGACTTGGGGTTTGATAATAAAGGCTGTTCGGTGAACGAAAATTTTTTTTTTTAATTTTATCGGAAAGCATAATATGCAACGAGCATCTGATAACGAGGAGAATGGGCAATCACAACGAAAGGAAGTGAACTGGAGGTCAAAATAAAAGCTAAAAGCTGACAAACTAAAATAAATAGCGGGGGTTTGAGCAATAATTTAGCGAATGAAGAATCTTTCACACCGATTTATTACTATCCGGTATGTGAGATTAGCTCAATACCCGTCATCGTAAGGCCCGCCGTAAGGATTGCGTGGTTCCGGTCGATAGGGCAGTCCAGGTGGGCCTTTAATATATTTAGGGCTACACAGCGAATCTCACCTGGCATCTGTGGAGCCTGGTGGTAGCCACCGACATTCTGGTCTTCGAAGTAAGTTGGTTCCGGCCCGTTGCGCCCTGAAAACAAATTCAATCCCAAAAATACACAAAAAAATACCAAAGCCCTCTTGATAAACGCGCGCACCAGGAGAGAGCCGGTAGCCTCTTGGGCCTAAATTGCCGTAAAAAGAAATAGCATTAGCCAACCTTCATAAGAGCCTTGCGGTCTGTCGTGCGGGTGGGGCTCGTAGCGTGGCGGGGAAACTAAAATGGATCAATTAATCTTAGAAAGAAGTAACTGTACCTCTCATCGGCTGATGCGGGGCCGGGGCAGGGCCGCCAAACTGCGTCTAAAAACCGGATTTTTTAATGTCTATAAATGAGTTAATAAAACCCGAGTCCTCGAACCCAAAGGTCTAGAAATTACGTGAAAAGCACGAACCTGGACTGCGTCCTCAACGGCTGTCGCTAACCTTGGGTCGATGTCGGAGAGGACGGCCCGGATGCTAGCGTGGCGCCAGACTTGGTCGAGGAGGGCCCAAGGGTCCGCTGTGGATCGTTGATGGGAGAATTGAGCCGACGCTGGACGCGATTCATAGCGTGGTGGTGGTTCTACCGGATACTGTGCCTAAATTCAAGTAATTGTTTTGACAAGTCTATTTGGCAGATCAAAATAATTGAGGTGGCCAGGAGCTATACTCTAGCAACCGCTTTCTGCCGCCCGGTGTGCAAAGCTTTGGCGAAGAATTTGCGTACCTGTGGTCCTGCCCAGCCTGGCACATCGTAGCCGCGGTCGAGCTGGTCGAGAAACTAGAACACTATTTTATAAGCGCACAGTAAACTACATAAAGATCGGTCCTGTCGTCGTCGGTGGGGAGATGGCGCTTCTCAACAATGCTCTTTTGCGCCTAAACCTTTTGCTTAACGAGTAGAAAATCTGACTACCTGGGCCTGTCCCAGATACAGCGAGACATTCCAATGCAAGCCAGACTCCTGCACGTCCGGGCGGACAACCACCGAGTGGGCGTAGTGGCCTAAAGTGGAAGAAGTTTGGTGCACCAAATTATTAGACAAACCATGTATTTCCTGCGGCAATATATAACTGGCGTTGTTTTCCAGCGAATAGACACCGCGAGTCGAGAAGCGGACGGTGCCGATTTCCACTAAATGAGGTTTATCAGGCCTGGAAGGACTCACGCGTCTGAAAGCAAACATATCCGGGCAGAGTCTCGCCCGGTTGGCCATTGATCGTCACTTGGAGCTGGAGAAATTGTGTTAAGCCAACGGGGAAAAATGGTACCTCGACAAGACGGCCGGCGATGCGGCGTGCCTTGAATTTCCCTGTTTTCACCTCGGTGCCCTAAAAAAGGGGGTAAAAGAGTGTACGCTTTTTTCCTGAAAGCCTGTTTTTTTTTGTTCATTCTCAACAAAAACAACCCAGGAAAATGAACGCAATTCAGTAAAGAGTCGGCCAGAAGTTCATACCGGCTCTACAGACATGTATTTGCAGTTGCCGATCCGCGTGAGCAACGGTCGGCAGACGATTTGATAATAGCCGCCCAGACGTGCCGCCCAGCGCCTAAAAAGAAAAGTACGGTACTTCTACAAATTAAAACGGATTTTTGTAAAAATTACCCCCATTACAGAAAATCTCTCTCCGCGACCATTTTGGGGTGATTGAAAAAAAGAAAACATTGGAGGTCATGGTTACAGGAAGCTCCAAAATGACCAACCCATGAGGATCAATCAGCACGACCTCGTCGGTGTCGTCGGCGAGCATGAACGTGAGTCCCTGGCGGGTGATACCAAAAACGATGCCGCGGACCCGCGTGGTATTTTGCTAAAATTAGGCAAAATTTTGATGCATGAATGGGAAAATGTGAAATACCCTCATGTCTAGTTCAAAGTTGTTGAACGGCGGCTGGTACTGGGTTGGCATGGGCTCCCTGAAAATATGGTTGATTGGCCAATCGAGATCTTACAGAAAAACAATTACCATTTGCTATCTGAATATCACTAGCGCCGGAAGTCAGGTATAAAAGCCGCCCAGGAGGCTACGCCATCCATTCTTATTCACTTTTGTAAGGCAGCCGTCTCTAATCGGTTTTTCTATCCGACCATGGGTCTCGAACAGTTCGCAAGCGAGGAATACAGACGTACGCTTTTCTTTTCCCCTTGGAATTTATTGTTTTCCAGAGGTACCCAATGGCAACTCCTTCGGGCCCAAGCTCGAATTGACGCCCGCCAGTGCCGTGGGTGCTTTGGTCATTCCGTTTTTGGGACTGGACCCTTAGCGGGGGGAGGGAGAGCTAACAGCCACATTTTAGCACTTTCTAGTGTATTTTCACCGTCTGCCTAGTAGCGAAAATTTAGAAATTTCAAATTTTTGTCCCATTACCATAGATTTTGACCCCAAAACCAAAATTTTCAACAATTTTTAAGTTCTATCTGTTCGGCGCGTTCACGTGGGGCGCCATTCTGCTGGTGTGCACGACGGTGCTGTACGTGTGCCGCCCGCAGAAGGGCGAGCTCGACCCGGAGAGCAGCGAGTACGAGAGCCTCCGCAAGACGCGCCCCGCCAAGGTAATAACTAACGGCTAATGAAATGCTACAATCTTCTAGGGGCTGGTGTTGAAGTCGCGCAGCGACAGCGAGCGTGACGTCGTCACGTCGAAGCGGCAAAATAGCACCGTAGGGATTGCCGTTTTGCGGCGCGCATCAATTAGCTTTCAGCGCAGCAGCGTGCGCTCCGGAACGAGCACCGTCCCCACCAGCGATCGCGAACGGAAATAATGGCCAATGGGAGCCGATTCGGGATGCGAATAAATATGTGTAAACCTCTTACCGTGGAATCGGATTTCGACTTGGGCCGGGCGAGGGGCTGCGCTCGCGCGGTGTTGAACTGTGCCTCGGCTCGAAGTGAGGCATGCTCTAAAGGTTTCCGTTCTTGATTTATTTCGGTCTGTTTTTTAATCCTAAAAATTTTTGAAAACTATAATTGAGAGCAAAATTAGTGAACATGGTACTAAAACGTTCGGCTCTTGTAAAAATAATTTTTTACGCTTAGTAAAACGCTAAATTAAATTTTTATGAAAAAAATTGGCGTAACCAAAATCGCAAAAAAATTACACTGTTCCAAAAAGCAATTGTTACCTCGTACGGCTTCGAAAGCCCCGGGGGCCCAAAATCGGGTTCGGGCGCCCATGGTTTCTCAGGAAGCGATGGCGGGCTGGCGAAGCCCGGGCGTCGGCCATCCCGGGTTAGCGCTGGAAAATCGTCAGCTCGGGGGAAGCCGATCGGGCTACGCAGATCCCGTGGGATACCTGGAATTAAAAAAAAATGGGCATTTCTTTTCCCTGCGTACCCTCGACTTCATCGTCATCTTCGTCGTCCGACTCTTCGTCTTCATCGAATTCCTCGTCGTCCTCGCTGTCCGAGTTGCGGGGCGCGGGCACTTCGTGGAGCACCTCTTCCACCTTGAATAAATTTTTGGAATGACAAAACGACGGCTGTCAGAGTTCTGATGTTTAAAGTTTTTCGTTTGATTGTTTTGTTGTAATTTATCGCGTATTAGCGCGATTTTAGCAAACGTATCGAAAAATTAGGGCCGATCCCAAAATCGCAATTTTGGTCAAAAATTTGGCCCAAAATCAGCCGAAAAACGAATCGTTCACCTCCATTTTCTCGCCCTCTGCCATCTCGCCGAGGATCTTCGTGACTTCGAAGGCGCAGCGGGCCATTCTTGCCTGTCCGAGACCCCGCGAACCGATGGTCAGCGAATGGGCGATGCAGCGAACCCTTGCAATATGTCTACAAACGCAAAATAAAGCCGTACCGTTTACCCTTGTACTTCTCGAATTCTTCGCGCGGGAAGGCGACATAGCCAAGATCGTTGTGGCGGATTGGAACCTAAAGAGCCGGTCAAGTAAAGTCTGGGTGGATGGCCAAACGATACCGATTCGATGAGGCGACCGTCCTGGTGTATCTCACGCTTGATCTCGACGTCATAGGTGATCCTCAATGCAATTTCCACTTCGACGTAGTCGCTCTGGTAGACGCGCGTGGTCACCGGTGGCTGAAAAATGCATTTTTAACGGCGAATTGGTCAAAAAAATTTTACCGTATCTTTTGCCCTTAAAACTCACCGCAACGCGGCGGATCACTTTAAATACGTATAGGCCGTTCGTTTTGGCGTACTTGCTTCCCTTCTTGGCGTGCCTAGACAAAAAAAAATCGTAAAACATTAACAGCGTAACAATCGTTTACTTTACAGTGCCGCTAAACCAGTCGCCAACATTGACCGTCTTCACCGTCGGCATATCAAGGCCCTCCTCGTTGCGACTAAAGGAAAAACTAAAGAAAAAGCCGCGAAGCACCAACTGTGGCAGGGCTACAAATCTGGTGTGCCGGTGCCAGGCGTAGAATTGCTCATGCACCGGGTCGTGCTCAATCACAAGCATCTCGAGATTTTCACGCAACTGAAAACGAAACGATTCTCAGTCTCGGGCTCGACTTACATGATCGCTGGCCTCGTCGTGGGTCATCTTTTCCCACGGCACAAATCGCACCGGTTGCATCACATCCGTTTCGTTGAACCTGTACGGGGTGTCGGAAAAAGGGAAAACTGCTTACACTGGAGGTTCCGCCGGTTCGAGCGGTCCGTAACGGTTTGGGGGACGTCTAAAAAGGAGAGGAGTTAGGATCAGTAGTCCAGACTTTAATTTTCGAATCCCTTGCCGGCCCCTCAGCCGACATAATCTGTCAAAGTTGCATTTCGGGAGCTACATGGTTTGTGGCGGCATTAAGGGTTATTTTACGCGGTTTAAAATGGTAAAACCGATTAATATTCGAGGACATACAATACCTGCTCGGTCCGACTCCATTGCGCATATGATTGGCATATTCTTCACGTCTCCGAGACCTGTTTTCGCGAATTGCCCAAGGATTCGCTGCCGTTCTCACTAAGAAGCCGGGCGGGTAGCACTTCGCCGAAGCCGTCATCTGATACATATCAATATTAGGTTTTTATAGCGATAAATTCATTATTGTGTGTTGCCCTTCTTGCGAAAGCCAATGGCACCACAACCAAAATAAATGAAAAGGCTAACCAGTTTCTTCGCCACTTCCACATACTTCTCCTGCCCATCGATCATTTCTTTCGCATTCAGGTACTCGTAAAACTGCCATTTCACCTCGTATTTCGCCGCGATTTGGGCGTTGGCCCTGAATAAATGTGGATACGAATATGTATAATACAAACAGGGACCCCCCCCCCCCGAAATCGGCGGGGGCCCGAAAATTTCATAAGGGGGGACCCTTACGATTTTTATTTTCTCACAAATCTTGCTGCCTGCGGCGCTATTTTTTTTCCCGTTTTTACGGCTATTTGTAGAGCTATGTAATCTTTTCTTCAAAAATTTTTGCCTGCGGCGCGGTTTTCCCGTTAATGTTTTGAGTTTTTGGACAAAATTTTTTGGGAGCCCCCCGAAATTTTTTTCTGGCTACGCTTCTCTCGCTTCTCTCACTGAATACAAATAATACAACACTAGATCTAGAAGGTAGAAAAAAAATTACCTGCATATGTACAACCTATAGGGGCAGTCGTCAGCTAATTCGTAGTGATATTCCGGCGAATAAACTCGTCCAAGTTCGTTGGAGAACGCGATGGCACTAGAATTAGAAAATGACTGGCGAGCCAATAGACTCACCGAGCCTTGCTCTCGTGCGCAACGTCCCGGCTGAAGACCACGGGTGCCCACACCGTAAATCGGTCATCTTGAAATTCGAGCCGGGGCTGAAACAGTCAGAAGTTTGAAGGTATAGCTCGACCAGTCCTACCAAATCCCGAATTTCCTCAGCGGGGATCGCCCGAATGTTGTTTTCATCCACGGAACAAATATTGCGCCCATTCGGCTCCGCATCCAGGTAATACCACTCGCCCGGCGCAAGCCTATAAAACAAGGCATGTTCTGTTTTACCCATAAAATATGCCGAAAATCACATTGAAGACTCACGACAGATTGGTAGTGTAGTAGCAATCGATGTCTTCTTTGTCGTCTATGTCGAAAACGGAGAGGAAGCGATCGCCGTTTGGACTAAAGCCAAGGTTTCGACTGGAAAATTTACCAACCTTTGAGTTTTTGCGAAGGAGAGTACCCGGCGTGGCATTGGATCGCTGGCGAGCTAGAATAGGATTGATTAATGGGCTCGTTTTTGGATGAACGAGAAAGATGGAAGCTTCAGAAAGTTATACTTGAAACCACAGCATTCCGCCCTTTACCAGTTGTTTCCCGGGCAGGGGGCACGCACAGGGAAGGCGGCCGCCCCTGGCCCCCCCCCCCCCCCCCCCCCGTGGCCCGCCCCCCCCCCCCCCCCCCCCCCCCCCCCCCCCCCCCCCCCCCCGCCGCCCCGCCGTCTGGCGCCCCCCGCCGCCTCCCCGCCCGCGGGGAAACTTATAGCGATTTGGCTTATGAGGTTTATTGTATGTAATTGCGGCCAGGCGCGTAGCCGCCCGTTGGAAAACTTCCAGCCCAGCCACTGACTATACAAAAATAGCATGAAAACACGCCCATAAGCCTTGCAAGATCAGTGCTGGAAAATAGAGCGATATTGATAACCAATCGGAAGGCTTGTGTCGGTATGAAGATTTATTCCACTTGAAAGCCAAATAATTCGATCGGAAGCGATGAAAAAGAAGTAAAAGCGGTCAATCACAACAGGAAAGGAACGATATAAAGACGCATATACAAAAAAGGGGCTCGGTATGTTCAAAGCGTCTGGTTTCAGTCCAACGGGATGTGGAGAGCCGCATCGCCGGCGGGCATCACGTCGCGAGACTAAATAAGAGCCAGTACTTTAACGGTTTGACCGTTACCTAGTAATAAAAACGCATTTATTGTACAGAATGAGAGCTCTTACCGTCTCGGGCACCTTGACGTACGACGGCATGCACATGCCCATGTTCTGCTGGACGATGAAGACGACCTGAGTGGATTAATATAACTTCTATAGAGTGTAAACGCGGATTCTTACCTCGGCCGTTTTTTGGAGGCAACTGTCCGGGATGGCCAGCTTGCCGACGTTGAATTCGGTGGCGGTGCGAACGGTCATCCGGCGGGGCAGGTTGCCCTCCTTGGAAAACAGCTGCTGTGCGGTGATGCTGCGCGGGGTGTCGGCGAGCTTCTTCAGTAGGCTGCCTTCCGAAAATTCTGCGCCGGCTCGTTGTAGGCCGAGGGCGCGGAGGGCCTTCTGGGCGGTGGCCGAGAGCTCGAGCTGCGTGCCGTTGTTCGGTGCTCGTTCGGTGGCCCCTTCAGCCTGGAATAGCTACTTTTTATTTTTGCTCGACTTCACTCTACCGTGGTGCCAATGCGGATCAGCTCTTCGCGCGTGTAGTGTGGCGGGCTTTCGGTGACATCTTGGGCCAGTTCGTCGCCCAAGACAGGCGGAGGCTTCTCGGGCTCCTTGGCGCTTTTACCGGATACGCGCTGACGCCAGGCCGCGTAGAGCCCTTCGCGCACCTGACAGCGGTTGTTGCATTTGGGAGCGGGCAAAATGCTTACCACCCAGAGGTCGCGTTCCTTGACCTTGACCACCACCAAGTCGCCGTCGCCAGCACGGTTACGATCGGCTACGCCCAAGATAAGTACGTCTGGCTGCTCGGAATTGTCGGCGATTTCGAGGTGAGCTTCTTGGTGGCCGTGCTTATTCATTCGCAGCGTCCCCTGCAAGGCTGATTTTCCATCTCAGACCTGAGGCCCACCTTGATCAGCTTCGCCTTAGGGTCTTGTAGGCCACGCTCAACCGCATCCATGGACATGTAGGGCATAAAGTAGGGTTTGCGCGGCTTCGCGTTGTGCCCAGTTTGTCCGGTGAAGAGATGGCCATTTCTGAAGGCACATCAGCAACAAGCGCTGAAATTCTACTTGTTCTTTTGGCTCTGGTTGGTGCGCGAGAGGGGACCAAGGCCTGGGGAGCGTGTAGGGGCCGGAATCGGGTCACGACGGGCCGTCACATTCCACGGAACCACATCGGGCAACGGGTTGTAGTTTCCGCCGGGCATACGTCGATTCGGGCGCTGCGAGATGTTGTCGTTGTCGTCGCGGAGCGCGCCTATGTGAGTATTCCATGAGGTTGATAAGAGATACGGATCAGCTGCAGCACGTCGGTGTTTCCCTGCTGGCCGACCATCGCCTCCATAGTTGTTTGGAAGAGCTCTGGGCGGAAGATCGAGGAGCCGGAGCGCACTTTTCGGAACGAATTTATAGGAGCTGAAATAATAAGGGCTGAACGGGGTGGCATAATTTTACCACGTGGATTCGGGAACCCCGGGACCAACGGCATGAACGGGCCGAGCGCGTCGAACGCGGCGGCCTTGCTGCCGGCCTGCTTCAGCTGCTCTAGCAGCGGGCTTTTCTTCAGGTCGATGCCCTCACTGCCGAGCAGACTGATCCCCATCACTTCCTCGACGGAAACGCGCCCGATTCGGGGGACACCCGAGAAGTTTGGCTGACGAGGCGGGGGTTGCGGCGGGCGAAAGTGGCTGTGCAATGGATGGTCGTCGGTTCTCGGAGGAAGCGGCGGACGAAGTTGCTGAAAATCTGTTCACAGCAGAATCCACAACTGCTCCCACCTGTTGCGGTGGTTCGCCGTAAAAATTAGGATATGCGTCGCCGTCGGGATTGCCCGTCGTTTGAAACCCGTAGATGTCGCGGTGAGGACGCATCGCTGAGGGCGGATGAAAAAGAGTGGTAGTAAACACTCACCCTCGACCGCCGAAAAAAAACTGAAATAACTGTTTGTTTCTCTGTTCAAGCTTGTATATGTGAGTATGTTAATGTCATGCAGTAAATGTAATATTCCGTATTTATTAAGCAAATTTCTTGAAAACGACTCCGGTACTCGTGGTGCCCTCCTGCCCGCCAAATGTAATCGTTGCCTGTGCGGGAAGCTCGGCGTAGAACTTGAGCAGTGGGGAGGAAAAGAACGTCTCGAGCTCGACCCTAGAAAGCATTAATGAGCGCTTTCGAAAATCGGTACCTAGTAAAGTTGCAGCTCATAATGAGAAGCAGCCCATCATCGGCGAGGGCATCTTCAACAGCCTTCAAGTATCCAACACGACGGGCCTCGCGTTCTTCCACATCACATAAACTCATCGCATCCCACGTACCTAAAGGTATCCTTTTGTAAAGGGAAGCCGAGTCGACAACGCACCTTTATCCATCACTAGATTGTATTGCCCGTGAAAATAGTTCTTGGTGATATTCAGGATGTCGAGAACCTGAATACTCCAATCAATTCATGATAGGAAACGTACGTCAAAGTCGATAGCCACATCCTCGTCCTTGCTGATTTTTCTTGCCAGGTCGATTGCTGCAGGCGAATAATCGACGCCATATAGTTTTGTATATCCTTTCGCCGCCTAAATTCGATGAGTTTAAACACAAACACATTACCAATCGCCGCAACAGAGATCCGTTCCCGCAACCAAGGTCCAAGACTCTGTTTTCTTTTTTCCGATTCGCCCCGTCGATGTATTTTAACATACGATTTTCAGCTGCCCGTCCGAACCACACCTAACAACGCAAAATTCTTTCATTAAAAATAAACAACCTCTCCTTCGTCCTCGTGCTCATCGTAGTTTTGCAGCTCGACCTGATACCGGTCATCCCAACTAAAGCTATATCTTGATATGCGCACGATAACATACTATTCTTTCGTACCGAGCACCGATGCCTCAATAGTATCATCACCCATACTAAAAAGGGTGATAGAAGAAGCCGATGAGCAATTTATCCACTGCACTGGTCGAGTGAAGATATTCGATTGTTGCTCTGTCTCTGACCGGTCTCGGGCAATACACATTCGCAGCAATCCAAAAATAAATTTATTTCAACAATTTTGAGGCATATGGCGACCCGCGGCAGATGGCGGGTAGGCGAGATCACAAAAAATTGCCAGTAAATAAAAAAGCCCCGGCGTAAATGATTATGAGTTACCAGTAAAATATGTTGAGGTTAGAAAAAGGGCGAAAAATTATTATAGCTTGAGCTTTTTCGCCAGACGCTGCTTCGCACTGGCCATCTTTGGAGCAGGTTTGGAGGAGCCATTTTGCTGACTGGCGAGCCCTTTGTTGGCTTCTAAATGGTTTGAATTCCAAGAATTTGCAAAGGAGCAAACCTTTTAGCTTATCGCCGGCATTCTTCTTCGAGTTCTTTTTCTTGCGCTCTTCGCGCTGCAACTCATGGGCCTCTTCGTGGACAATGCGATCCATTTCTTCGCTGTAGTCGGGGAGGGATTTCTCCACAGCGACGGCTTCTACATCTCAATGTCGGAATGAGTGTCACAAGTCTTCACTAACCGGCGGTGATGGCCAGCTCCTCGCCGCAAAAGTCCTTTGCAATCGCAGTCGGTTTACGGCGACGTCCGCTCGAGGCCGGCGCCGAGAACATTGATGACATTTGGTCTTTCTAAATGAATTATGAATGTCGGTTAGCCATTAAACGATACCTCTTCTTTAAGGGCGTTGATTTTCAGTGGCGGGATTTCTACTGGAGCCGAATCCGCAAGCGACTCACGTCGAATAACCAGTTTGAGTCCGGCTAGAAAGATTACAACTAATTCAGGAAGCAATTCCTTACAACTATCTGTCTCGGGTTTTGCCGCATCGCACCTCTCGGAATGATCGGTATCACCATTGGCAACCTCTGTATTAGCCGTCGATGACTGCGGAATAAGCACTGGGCTCGACTTCTTGACGTTATCTAAAAAAACCCTACTACATTCAGAAGTTGAGCAGAATCTGACGGTTGCAAAAAACCCTACGTTTGCGGGGTCGCTTCTTGTCCAAATCATCCGTATAAATCTCCACACCAAATTCATCTTCGCTGCGTCTTTTCTTTTTAGCGCGTAGTTTCTGAAACAGAATTAGTGTGCATGTCAATCTATACCTTCTGCGACTTGAGTTCTTTTTCCAAGTTGCCAATAATGGACCGGCCAAACTTGTCTAGCTGGTCCTTGTCCTGCTCGTACCATATGTACAGCTTCTCCAACAAATCTTGCGATCCCCGGTAGATGTGCTCGGGGCAAAGTTCATGTTCCTTGTTGCATTCTAAAGCTTGGAAGGCTGTTGGTAGTATAGTACCTTGAATTTCCTCGGTTATCGCCTTGGCCGCATACCAGTTGCATAAGCGAAAATCCGGAAACATGAACTTTTCGTCAATGTTGGCCTCCTCTTCAATGTCATTGACCCTGAATTTGGGGTCGCCGGACATAAGGATATTATTTACCGTAGTTGCATTGATATGTTGCACTTGTGGAGGAAGTTTCCGCCAAAAACAATCGAGTCGACAGGGGTGTAGACGGCATGCAGCCAGCCGGACGGGATGAGCAACGTCTGGCCTTCTTCAATCTCGGCCTATTCATTTGTTATGCAAGTAGCAGATGCCTTACCCGGAAGAGTAAGTTTATTGCGCGAAGCTGATCACCGAGCCACTCTTCATGCCGCTTGTTATCTTTGGAGTAATTCCTATAGATTTCTAGCACTTCGTCGGTGGGTGGCGCATAGTAGAAGATCTTCTTGCCCTAAAAGGCAACAAAAGATAAAAGGTTTTCGAAGCTCAACTCACTCGGAAAATGTGGTAATAAACAGAGCTGCCGCCAAAGTCAATGTGGAAATCCGTGTAGCTGCCTTTCATACCAATCAGACAAAACAACTCGACGGTGGGACGCTTTCCGTAATCATCTTCATGCACCTTCGGCCAATGGTCGGCTAAAAGTAAATATAATCAAAAAAACATTAGTAAAGCGAGTACCAGGAAGAGAGAGCGTTTTCAAGAAGAACTTACACTCCTCTTTTAAGAGAAATTCAGCCTCCAATGAGCGCGGGCTCATCTTGCGTTCGGTGAAACCAATAGCGGGGTTTGTGCCTGAAGATTCTGGCTGGACTTCAGGCAGGTCGTCACGTGTAATATCCGTCTAAAGAAAAATATCTTAAAAAGGCTCGAATTGTATAATACCAGGTCGACGGGGATCGCTGGCCAGTATAGGGAAACCCAGGAAAGGTCGCGCACCAATTTCGGCTGCTTGAAATAGTGACGTAGTCTAGATAAAAATACTAGGAATTCTGCGGGAACTTACTGGGATTTCGAGAACTCCATGCTCAAGATGTTGTAGAGCCGAGGCCGTTCTTCCTTTTTCTGCACATAAATATAGATTTTCAGTATAGTTTACTAACCCATTCCGCGACAAAACGATCAAGCCGCATGGTTTTGGTTGCCTGTCGGTAAACATCTATGGTGTCGACATGGGTATGCGGACCTAAAAAGGTTTTAACAACCCTCTATAATTTACCCATGACGTTCAGCGCATCCTCGATCTTGAAATCGGGTGGAGGTAACTCCAGTTTCAGTCCGATTGGGTGCTAAACGTTTGATCGTTTGATCAATACACCACATTCAAACCTTGATAATGAAGACATGCTTCCATTCTGTTGTCCCATTGAAGTGATACTGGAGGGCATAGCCGTTATCCAGCAAATGCACTTGGAACTTGTTCACATCGCTACAGCAAAGTACAAATAGTTAGTAAACCCTTACGTGTCTTGGACCGGAAATGGCGGGATCTGATTCTCACGTAGAATGAAATCTTCGATCCATTTCTTCGAGCCCACCTAACAGCCAATCATTCGAAATACAGGCAAAACGAAATCACCTGCGTTTTTTCATCCATCTCTTCAATATTGAAATAGTTGTGTCGGTGGGGGACCAGCAACTCGTAGACTAAAATCATGAACAAAAATCACCCAGAAGTCGCGACTCACAAACAGATTTTCCGACAGTTTCTTCACATGTTGGGCAATGAAATTTGTTGATGGCAAACGTGGTCATCTCGTCGGCATCGACACACCTAAAGCAGATTTCGTAGGCGCTACTAATAAACTCACGAGACATGGTACCACTTTTTGCATTCATCACATTCAACGAATGAAGTGTTCTCGATCCCATCTTCATTCAGCCCACATGCTGCGCAGGGGCTCGATGAGGATCTATTCAGGAATTTCTTGAATAATGCGTATAACCTACTGTGACTCATGGCTGGGCTCGATCTTCACGTCTACATCTATAGATAGACTCTCCATCAACAATTTCAACAATAAACCGTGTAGAGCAGCCCGGCTGGTTGAAGCTGCTGTAAAGCAAACTTCCGTTTAAAATATTCGGCTGAGAGCCAGGATCGAGAGTGGGTGCAATGCTTGCGCATGGCGAGGGTGTGGCTAGTAGCCTTCAGTTTTTCATTTGCACGAGCTAGTCGTCAACAATAGCTTCCCAGAAAGCTCGGTTTCTTTAGGCTTTTTCCAAATTCCAATTGTTTTGCCCTTTGGTTTTCAACGCCATTACAGTTACTATGTGATATTACCTCCAGCGAAGGTATTTTTCATGTGGAGCTGAGATCCAGTCCGCCAGAATTACTCTGAGGAATGCGACGGGTTTATTTAGTCAGTGTACCAGAGAATTAGAAAGATACAAATTGCAATGTACTGCCTAGTCAGAAGCCTCGGATAGATAGACCGGCACAAAAGGGCATACACATCAATAAAGCACAGACACAAAGTATAGTTTTACAGACATGATTGAGCTAGTACTAATCGGAATCAGGGCACGCAAATTGAGGGGCGATCCGTTTCTTTGCGTCGACTAATGGCACATTTTGAGACTGCGTGCGAAGAGCCTGACGAATTTTTCGTGAGATTGCATTCCGGGGGCGGTGGGCCTGATGCAGCTTCAACTTGTCCTTGTGAGCGGGGTGATCCATCGCGACATAGTCCTCTGGGACGCAAAGAGACTAAAAACGAGCGTTAGTAAACATTTTCAATATCGAACGGTCACAACGAATGGGTCGGAACTACAAACAGGATAAACCATTCACCCGCGTGTTCGGTGCGACGATCTCAGTGGCACCGTAGAAAGCGCGGTAGCCGCCATGCAGAACATAGATTTCTTGATAGTCGATCCACGGGTAGTCGTCATAATGTCGTTCTCGGTCTTTACTTCGCAATGCACCGGCCCTGAACGGTACGTAAGCAGTGAGAAGAAACTTACATGCGAGGCCCTCGGACTTCGGAATATTCGCAATAGAAGATTGGAATCTTCTTAGAAATGACGGAAAATTGTTCGGGATCCTCGGGGAAGAAATGCGCAGCCATCAACTTTGGATCGGTGAAATTGATTGCATTCTAAAGAATTCGTCGTGGAAGGATGGATGACAAACCTTGACATGCCCGCCCTGATATTCATATTTGTATCGGCAATCGATTAGGACGTAGATGTCACTAAGAAGAAATTAAAAACGTCAAACGAAAATCTACCTGAAGCCCTCGCCGTGCAATTTCAACTGTTCTGCCAATGTGTCTTTCGAAATATAGCGAAATGCTGATGAAGAGCTTTTGCATTCGTTGCTGGGAATTGTCGGCAGCGTGTACTCCTAACCCGAAAAACCTTTAGCTCTAAAGCGCAAACATACCACTTCGGCGAATGTGAATTGTGTTGTAGCCGTATCGAGATAGCTGGCGCTAAGGCACTTCAGCGGCTTCTTTTCGCGTGGCGCACCATTGCCGGAGAGGTACGTGCTGTTCGGCGAGTCCACATATTCTTCATCCGGTGTGGCCGAGGGCCTCACGTCAATGTTGACCGAGCTGGAGCGGCAAAGGGTGCCTTGGAAGAAGAGCTTGCTTCGCTTTCGTGGGGGTTCAGGCACGGCGCTGACTTCGAAGTCGGATACATCCTACAAGCTTTGATTAGGACGGAAGCTGATATGTTACCAATGGATCATCAATAGGAGGGAAGACGAACTTGGAGATGCGCTGCCCTTGCACGAACGTTGGGCTAAGCACCTCCCATTCCGCAAACATTGCCTGGAAAAGTGGTTCAAGCGGGGCTATGAAGATAAAAGTCCAGTAAAATTGGAAACTAGAAAAATTTCTGCAAATTTGAGAAAGTTGAGGAAAAAAAAGATAAAAATGGAGGAGAAAGATGGAAAATAAACCCGCCTACGCGCCGCTCCAGATGGTGAGGTGCTATTTAGGGCGCAAAGATGGACAATGTTTGGGCGGAGTTTACAAAAATAAAAAGTTGTAGTTTGTTTTCTTTTTTTTATTAGGTATTTTTTTATTTAGATATTCTGGCACACGGAGACTAGAAATTTATAGATGTAAGTGTAGATATAAAAATATTAACAATATTTTGAAAATAATGAAATTTAAAATGACGTGACGCGAAGCAATACCTTACATGAACTTGCGCACTGCATTTTGTATTCCTCTGACATACACTTTCCAACATTGTCTACGTTTTCTTACATCTAATCACTTCAGCGGCCCCGCGATGAACTTGCCGTGGTTGCGGCCGACGCCGAATTTGCTATTCCGAAGATCAATATCGACTACGCCATGTATGAACAAAAATAGAGCCGGAAAATTTAGGGTAAGCGATTTGAGCTCTAATTCTTTAAAATTACCTTTTAGTCAACGACAAACCGGACCCAATTGTTGACGTACGAGATGGCTCAGCGACCCCATCATATTGGCGTCAAGAAGGCCTGGCTAACGTGGCACAGTCAGAATTTGGAAGGTAAGCCGATAACCCTTCGCTAAACGCTGTTTCAGAATTTCGCAACCAGCAGCCGGTGATGGTAACCCAAGACGAGATTATCAGAAGGTTCATGCGCGGTTTCTTCCCAAATAACGTCGTCATTCAAGGCGAGGAGGCAAGTTACCGTTTTACCTTTTTTTACTTGCTCAAAAATACCAGTCTGTCAAATAATTATTTTTCGTTTTCAGATCGTGATCAAGAGGCGTGGTAACGTGATATACGTCGCTGGCTTCTTGCAATATTCGCGACATCTCGACACTCAACGGTATGATGGCCTCCTTTGCTTAATGGTTACTTTTACAGGATATACTGGATGTATGGCTTCGCCGAAGAATTCCTGTCAATCCTGCTCAAGCAGCCCGTGAAGCTGGAGATGCAATTCGTCGAATCGGAAAAAGATCTCGCTTATAATTACATTTGAAATATTATCCTTGTCAGTTTTAGGTATTAGTGTTTTGGTCATTACCTCGTTGATAAATCGTTTCCGCTTTAGCTGTCGCACGTTGCTAGAGCTCCACGTGGCTTGAAATACTCGTTGGGAGAAAGTTGATGAATTGATTTATTGTGTCTTGGCCCTATGTTCCCAAGCCTACCACATGTCGCACTTGCAACTGGACAGCTGTCGAGCTGGGCCCTTTTGCCTTCTCGGGACATTTAATAGCACTCGAGTTTTTGAGCGTTCTTTGCCGCCCATTTTCTAAATTGGATAGCAGCTACTGAATAATGGCCAAGCGGGGGTTCCTCAGCTTGCTGTTTGGCTTATCCTCTAGACTCCATTTCAGGGATCAGACACGGACGTGGATCTCTGCCAATCCGGCTAGCTGGTTCACCCTACGGCCGATGCTTCATTCGCCGCTCCCTGGTTCGTTAAGTTAAATTTACGACAATCTCAAAATTTTAGGTTTATTTTGCTAATATAAATGCTTCTTACCCTTATTACGGGTTTTCTGCTTGGCGTCATCGCGGTAATATGTGCTGTAATCTATGTCATCTACTTTGATCCGTTCGGAACAAATTCTTCAAACCCTGCCCAATTCGTCGATCAATTCCCACCGATTCAGATAGCTGAGGTATGAGATCAAAATAGCTCTAGAATCAAGGTCTTTAGGAAATCCGCAAGTTCCTGAGATCGGGTGAAGATGGCGGTGGCATTTCAAAATGGGAATCGACCGTTTCGCTCTCCTTGCTCATGCACCTGCTTTTCCAAGAAAATAAAGATACCCGGGTGCTTCGACGGTACTTTTTTATGCCCATCTTTATCACATATATTTAGATGGGTACACAAGCGTCTGCAGCTCGAACTAAACGACTTGACAACACGATCGAAGGCCGGCCGTTTTATCGAGTCAATTCGGATCCGAGATCTAAACCTCGGTACCAAGCTGCCCACCGTTCACAGAGTTCGCGTCGAGTCGGCTGAAATGTCAGAAGATCGGCAAACTTTTGAGGTCTGATGAGATTATGAAAAATAGAACTCATATTTCCAGAATGTGGTCTTCCTGATTGACTTGGAATACGGTGGTGGTTTTGAGACTGCGATTGATGTTCGCACGCCGATCGTTTATGGAGGGTTGTCCCTAAAGGTTGGGTTTTGATGAAAATTTCATCGCTCTTCAGGTCACTCATCTAGCCGGAAAATTGCGACTGATTATGTCGCGAAAGCCCTACAACCACTGGGCATTCTCTTTCGTTTCCGACCCGGTCTGCAAGATTAAGGTTTCTATTTTCGGCTGTTGGCTCTCAACTTGTTCAGATTGATCCGCAAATCCAGGGCCATCCAATCAAGCACATGGTCGGCATCGTAGAACAGCAGGTTTTTGATTAAATTTATTGGTTTATTCGCGGGTTTAGATCCGAAAAGCTCTCCAGCGCAAACATGTTTGGCCCAATTACAAAGTTCGCTATCGTCCATTCTTCCCGAATCCATTGCTACAGCCATCACCCGCCGCTGGTTTGGCTAGAGCTGCAATTAATCCGGGTTTTAGAAGAGTACGCCCATATGAAGCTAGTTGGCGGTTTGGAGGTCACGGTTTTACAAGGCACAAGGATCAGGACGGCTCTCGTCGATCAGAATACGGCTTATGACGTATATTGCACGCTGACTATTGGTTTGTCACCCGTAATTTTACCTTATCGTTTTTCTTCAGATTTCCGGCCTTTCCTGCAATCCACCGATGTCTCGGCGGCCCATTCCACGTCTTTGATGCTAACATTTTCGCGATTTGACAGTGAAGGAGAAAGCGGACTGACGTATGAAAAGGTTCGCGTCTAACTTATCAAATGGTTTATATTTGCAATTGGTTTAGGCTGTTCGTGGACAGCAAAATCTCGTGAAGGTGCTGGCAGTGGAGGAGGGTTCTTTGGCTGAAAAGGCGAATTTTAGAAAAGGTTTGATTGGAAAAATGTTTCAGTTAGTTGTTTTTGTAGGTGACATCATCACTGCCATCAACAATCTGCCAACGAGAAGCGAACGTCAGGTGGAGAGCATCCTCAAAATGACCGGCGAGCTGAAGGTGTTGGTGGAGCGTAATTTGGATGATTTGGAAGACCCAGATTTGAAAGGTAAACGTAAGGAAATCTTGGTTAACGCTTTTTAGATGACGAAGATGACGATATTCTTTCTGATGGGGCTGCTGAGAACGAGGCTTCGCATGGGGCAGGGCTGCTGCAGAAAGAGCATATCGTACGTTATATTAGTGTCTAGCGAAACACTATTTTTAGACCTCGGAGATCCAGACGGAGGAGCAGGGTACCGTCCGGATGCGTGCACGGAGCACTTCGACAAATAGTGATTGTCGGTTTTTGGCTTTATTTTGATATTATTTTCGATATTTATTTCCTATTTTTGTTTTCAGCGACACGCCGCCATAGCCTTTCCATCCTCCCGCCGTCAACGCCGTCCTTTCCACTGCATACACCTTCGGAATCCGTCTCGTCTTCAGTGATCGACATCAATCAAACGTTCCCGTTCACGGTATCTATTTTTGATTGGCGCAAATTGTCCTCTTCTTAGTTCAAATGGGAATTATTGTAAATTCAAGACAAAACTTTTCTTTCCAGCGCCCTCCCGGATCTGCCACTGTTGCTCGAACGGAAAGTGCTCGTGTGCCACATGTTCTCATCAGCACTCCATCAATGGACCTGCGACGCACCAGGTTTGCACGGATCACTGATTTTTTACCTATTTTGTCAGATCCGAGTCGCAGCTCGACGTCAGGTTACCAAGCACATCGGTTTCCATCGAAAATTTGATTGCGATCAACCCCAATATGTCGCAAGATCCGTTTGACATCTCGGAAGAGGCCTGCAGCATCGAGGTGCTCCCCCTCTAATCTTGCAAGCAAACTGATCTTTTTAGAAAGTGACCCCACTAGGGCGAGTCCCTCTTGAACAACCGCCTACCGTTGAGCCGCTGGAAATTCCTCGTGCATTCCCTGATCGCGAAGAGGACCTCAACTATACCAGCGCGAGCCTGAACATCCCAACGGTCCGTATGAGACAGAAATACGGCGCGAGTACAGACCAGGCTTTTTCCCAGGTTTGGCGCGTAAAACGCTGCATTTGTTTCAGCACAACAGCCAATCTTCGCTACTCTCGAACTTCTCGAACAACTCCTCTGCCAATGCCGAGATCTCGGCCGACGAAGATGCCAAGCTTTCGCGAAACCGACCCCACAGCACTCGGCGTGCTCGGCTGCATGTAGGTGTTCTTATGAAAAATAAAGCTACTCGTTTAGGCCACCCTCGTTGCCGGCAAAAAGAAGGTGCTCGATTTCATGCCGCAGAAGAAAAGACCGACATCCCTGATAAGCGACACGAACGACAGCGTGGAAATGGGACAGGAAGCCGGAGAGTCATTGTTTGCTGAAAGCGAGGTATGATTTAAATCAGAACGATTTAAACAATTTTTCATAGCAGCGCTCCCGAACCAGCAGCCCATTCCCCAAGTGCCCCACCGAATTCACGGTCAAAGATCAGGTAGGGTTTGGCCGAATTGGTTAGACTTTTTATTTAGGAAGTTGAGCTCCCGAAAGAGGAAAAAACGAAGCACCATCGTCTTGGCAGGAAAAAGAAAGGGTTTGGTGCATAGTTTGTTTCATTTTCTCTTTCCAGCGCATCACCGTTGTCGCCTCGAAAATCTGGCGCCGGACAGACGAGCGAGACGAATAATGGTGATTCCCCGACCAGCAATAGCGCGGTATTCGCCCATTCGCGCAGCACTCGCCAAGTACACCTGCAACCGGTACGTTCAGATTTTTGACGGGAGTTTTGATATCTCATGTGCTTATTCTTTGGTTTCTTCCACTTCTTTCCGGTTCCGTTTTATTAGCCAGCTGAGCTATATGTAGTATAGAATATCCGTTTCAGAACGTTCAATGGGCTCAGTCGCTGCACTTCGAACTGGACAACGAGGGCTCTCACCGGAAATGCTACTTGAATATGACCGTTCACGCCAGGGAGCGCAACAACTCGTCTAGCGGCACCAGCGATCCTGCAAAACCCATATTGTTGGGCTATGTAAGCCTCTCTATTGCTTGAAACAACAGACCTCATTTAGAATTCCCTCTATCTGCCGCAAATCCTTGATGATTGCCGCTGTACCTTGTCGAATTGCCACCGCCAGGTCTTCCACCTTCGACCACCGCCGGGGCTAAACTTGGCGTCGCTGATCAAGTAAGATACTTCCGGGATTGACTATTCCTTACAGTGTATATCAAAACTATCGGGAATGCCGTTTTTTGGGCTTTTTAGCCGTCATGCTGGCTGATTTCTAGGACTGTAGCTATGTCACCCTATGGCCCCACAAAATTCTGCATATTGGATGCGACTTCACCTGAGCGCTTACATGCATAAATTATGCTTGCAAGTGGTATTTTTCACGGAAAAGCTACTTTATTAAAAAACCAACAGTGAAAGGGATAATGAAGAAATTGTCTAACTTGAGAGGTCTACTGTTGAAATCCGAATACGACTTATACCTTTATTTTGAGACACAGTATAAGCCCCTTTAGCACATCCGGCGAATTGTCCAACCATCCTGGCTACGATCCGCGGCTTCTATTTGGGGACGTCACATTGAATTTCCGCTATTTCCCCGATGGGCTGCCCGAAGAGGCGAGGAGCGGACTCCTCGACACTAGGTATCACCTCGTCGGGCCCTTCCACACCTCTTCATTCTTTAGCGACGAGGACCCAGCAAAACCGGCAACGGCCTCGACCCCCGCATCCTTCCACGATTGGAAGCCGTGGAGTGCCAAGCAAAGTTGGTCGATTTCCCGTACATAATCCTATTTCTAGGTGCCATCTGTGCCCTCTGCAACGGAAAGATTTGGCTGAAAAACGGACAACGCTGCGCTCGCTGCCTGATCGTTTGCCACAACAAATGCCAGGTACCGATATCTTTTATGTCAATATATTTATTGACGCAGCTCCGAGCTAACATCAGCATCAACTGCTCGCAGAACGCGGTGTTGAAGAACGACGAAAATTTCGAGGAGGTAGCCGATAGCCCTTCGCGCCATGCTTTTTCTTTAGATCACTTCCGAGGTCTGCGCGATGCCAAGTGCAGTAGAACAGCCGGTGGCCGGTGGTGAGGGGCTACCACAAAGTCCGTCCAGATCCGACTCCGTACCGCACTCAATGATACCGCCAATGACTCCTGACAAGGCTCCATACCGAAGTAGGACCGAACGTCTTGAAAATGTATTTCTAAAAATAGATGAAACGGAGGCCGTATCACGGCGAACTCGTCTGAAGGCGCGAGTCAGCGAGAAGATTGGCCAATTTTCGTGGCGTAAAAAGAAGGATCGTCCAGATGATGGTTAGTATTATATTTGGGGACAGGTCGGGGGGACCAACTTTTCCAGAAACTTAATTTTATGAAAACAAACGATGAAAAAAACCCTTTTTGTTTGATGAAATTTCAGTCGAAAAATAGATTTTTCAATTTATTGATTTTTTAATCAAAATTTGTAAGCTTTTTGCGGTAAGAAACCGTTTAGAGCATTGAAAGTTACAGATACGCACACAGACAGACAGTGACGCGGCCAAAAATTATAGTGGATGCAAAATCAACTAAACGTTTCAGGTTCCGCCGGCACCTCTCAATCGACCTATGCGACCGACTTGCCGAGTCCTGTGGCCAGTATTGCAGTGAGTGCTTGTTAACCTCCTTGACTGCGCCGTTGTGACGTGGCATGATGACTGATTGGCGGCACTCATTGCATTGTCGTGCTTTTGGTTTTGCTCTATAGATGCCTAAATTCAGCCAGCAGAGCTCGGCGGATACGGAACGGTACCCAGAATTCCGGGCTTATTCTAGTCTCCTGGCTAGAATAGTAGTATCCACAGTAATTAGTAATTAGAGTGCTTCTTCGGAACCCCATTCCCCGACGGGGAGCGCTAAACTTTTTCGTTGATGGTGTGCTTGGTTGGTTATTTTTATTGCGCTGTCTTTATATGATTATTATCCTCTGTGCTTTCCCCCTGTACGAGTGATTGCATGCCCCCATCCCAAAGGCTTCGATGGCCCTGTTGATTGGGCTCCTATCTGGAAGGCATGAAAAATTATAGGATTTTCGCTGCAAAAAGCATTATTTCTACTGGCAAGTGATATTTTTTGGTGATTATGGAGTTTTGAGTTGTAACTCATTCGATAGAGCTTGAGATTCTCAAAATCCGATCTTTCAAAACTTGCCGAACGATTAAAAACTTCGGCCTTTTTGGAGCGAATTTTTCAAGGCTGTTATCGTTTAGCAAATTTTCAAATATGGACCTTGTTCTGAATTTCAAACTCTGTCGAATTATCTATTTTCACCTAGAACGACTCCTTTTAGGAGGTTAAATTTTTCACGATGCCTGCAGATATTGGCCCATATCAACCAAAAACTTTCACCACTTTACCAACCATTTAGACGTTGCTCTCGGATGTGCTGCCCCAACTTGACGGTTCCCCGTTCATCTCTTCCGTCTATTTCCAACCGGGCAACGCCTACAACGAGGACACCATCGCCAATGCCAAGCGCCTCGGCAAGAGCATTTTCAGCGATGTCAGCCCGCTTGAAGAGCGCCAGCGAAAGGTCAACGAGCAGGTCGAAATTATTTGCGTGTCCTTGATCTCCGGATTTTAGATTGACCTCATCCAGAAGGCCATCCATGAGACGAAAAGCGGCCGTTTGGAAGCGCTGAATCGCGAGAGGTCGGAAAGTGAGGGAGAGCGGTTGGTTTTAAAAAAAAATTTACTGGTCTTTTTGTAGTGGCTCAAACACTTCTCGAGACTTCGAAGGGCTCGACGAACGGCTTCAAGCCCTCGCCGTGCTCATGCTCCACTATTGCGCCGCTTTGCAGGTAGAATATATTTGCTAAGCTTTTATTTATATGGATGGTCCTTGCTTCGGAGACCCGAATTTTGCTATTATCTAGCACTAATTTTTTCATGATGTTTTTTAGTAACATTTAGCTATATTAAAGCCGAAAAGCTATCTAGAAAACTGAGAAGAATGTTTTAAAAATTCGGAAGTTGTTTGGAAATCAGGCTTTTTGATCGAAAAACCTTGATGCATCATACTGAAAAACATTAGAAAAAGGGCCTCGATATTAATAAGAGGAAAATTGGATCCTGAAAAAATGTTACCCCCCTGTTAATGCCAAAGAACCTACTTGTGATGCTTATATTTACTTTTTCCAGGATTGCTGTGAGAAAGAAGACGCCCGCCGTGAACCGAACCCCAGCCCATCCGATGCATCGTCCGACTGCACCATCAACGACTCAAATGAACAATCTAGTTAGTCCCGCCTCCCCTGTCGATTCCACACTGTCCTGTGATAATCCTGTTAATTTATACCCCTCCTCACCACCCGTCATTCCTAGATACATTCCCCTTTTATCGAAATGCTTTATCCAGCTGTGATCGAGTCCTTCTTAGGCCCATTTCCGGTTTTCTTTTCCGGCCAGTTCTAATATAAGTTGTTTAGTATTTCCAGAGGAGGAGCAATTTTCTAGTGTAAAGAGTAAAAAAGGGGAGTGTTTCTAACTTGCTAAATATTATCGTAAAGGGAAAACTTTACAATTGATTAAAACATACTGAAGATATGGATTTCTCGACCAGTTTTTAAAGAAAAAACCCTCTTTGGAAATACTAAGGCACCCTAATGTCTTTTCCAGTACTGTAATCCCGAATTTTCTCTGTTTCTCACCCCGCGGCGCGTTGCCATCATCGAACGAAAGCCATGTGATTTTTCTTGTGTGCGGCCCTTTTCTTACCCGTCCACTTGCCCCCCGATTCTGGTCCCGGTTTAATAATGGTCATGTATTTTTGCCAGTAGCTCTCGTTCATTGTTGTAGCACTGAACAAAGCCTACGATTGGAATGGACACACGCAACACTTGGGTGGAAATTACGGGGAGCCCCTGTGCGCAATTTCAATTCTTCGAATAGCATACCGGATGTCTGTGCTTGCATGTCCACGCGCATCTAAAAGCAGAGCGACCAGGCGCTCTCACACTTTCGCAGTGTTTTCGATTCTACTACTTGTCAGACTACGGCTATATTTCTTGACGGTTTACATTCAGGATGGACACGTGAGTTCTTTCACGGTGGGCTCGTGGACTTTCGCAATTTTTAGTCAGGGTCAGCCGCAGGACTCCGGGCCGTTTTTGCCACCAATCTTCCGGTCGAACACGATTCTGCCGATCGAGGCCCAGCTGGCGGCCGTCTACAACGAGGAGACGAACGAGTGGGTGATGAGCGGCAAAAACGAGTGTTTTTATTGTCATCCAAAGCGTCTGTTAGTCAACGAAGTGGTTAGAGCCGTACCCGAGCCAGCAAGGAGGTCAACACCCTCAAATTTCAGGACTCGCTTCGAATATTCCGTGGTGTGGGAGGAAGAAGTGGCCAGCGCGGGCGGCGCCACCGGCGCGATGAGCCTCCTCGGCCTCGGCGAGCTCTCCGAGTTCCGCCCTGTCTCCTCCAACTCGAGCCGCATCCACGTCAACATCGAACGCGACGGCGGCGTCAAGTGCGATGGCCCCTGCGAGCAGTACCACCTGCCGGACCAGCTCACGGTAATGTGCCAGGGCTACCTTAAATTTAAGCGGTTGTCCGTTTATTGAGGCCAGTAATTGTTTATTGCGGGATTTGCGCTATTTTTAGGGCATTTTAAGCATTTAAAAAAACAACATAAAAAATGACTAAACATAAACAACTTTTCATCTACAGCTCGTCGGCCGCTGCGACCACTACCTGTGCCGCCCGTGCTCGCAGATCGTGATGAACGCGGACGGGTCGACGGGCTGCTCGAAGTGGGAGTGCTACCGCAACATGTTCGCCTGGCTGCCCAGCGACGTCTCCACCCAGCTCTACAACCAGTACGTCGTCTCCCGCCAGCGCGACATCAAGAAGGCCGCCCCCTGCTGTCGCCCCGACAATGGCGGCTGCAGTGCGTGAGTTTTTTGGAGATTTTCGCTTCTTTTGTTCTTACCAATAGGCCTTTTCTATTAAAGCACCCCCGCCAAAAGCCTGCGCAGCCCGTCGCTGAACACGGGCGAATGTGTGGAGAGCCCCGGCACCGGCCCGCGCAGCCAGAGTGTCGCCGTCCGGCTGCTCATCTTCGAGCCGGGCCCGAAGCACAGTCGCAAGGTTGAACACATCCAGCATGACGTCTCGCCCAACACCACGCTCGCCAACGCCATCGGCCCCATCGCCAAGGGCAAAGAAGGGGAGAACGGGTACGTATTTTATTTGGTACTTGTCTCTCAGCGGGCGAGATCTTTCAGCGCAATTTTTCTCTTTTTTTCGAATTTAACTAGGCTTTAAGCCGGTGTAAACTATATAATTCTGGTCCTTACGCCCAATTTTCAGTGCCACCATCTACCTGGTGCAGCACGACGCGAAGAACCCGAAAAAGAACAAGCTCATCCCGTTCTCCATCAAGTACGACGGCGCCGAGCCGATCGGCAAGGTAACGGCCATATTAACCAAATCCAACGATATACTTTTTTTCAGTTTGCCCCCGACGGCCGCATCATCTTGGCCCTCGACCTGACCGGCCAGATCAAACCCACCGACATTGATTTTTAGACTGGATCAGCTGTTTATAGCGAATCCTCAAGTGTCTTGTGCCTTTTTTAAAGGAAAGAATAAAGTTTATTGCATCACGACAAGCCACAACATCACCAGCAAAGTCTATCACATTTTTCACAGCAACTTTTTTGCCACCGACGCCGTCCTGCGCCGTAGTGTGGCCGCCTTCTTGTTGATGAACGTCTTGGCGCCGTTGCTGAAACTTATTTTGTAAAGCTGCCATTGTCATCCTCGGCCTTTTTAAAGCGAGGTTCGGCTGGTGTGACTAATTACGAGCTTTTGAACCTACCGCCCGATTCGTCTCAACCTCGTGGCGCTTTCCGGCCTCGTCTGGGGCGTCGCAGTGCCCGCGCATCGAGCGCCACAAAACTTTGAGTGCAGATCCTGCAAACGAACAAAATACTCTCAATCTTTGCTCGAAACTTCGATATATTTTTTCCACTTACCAAGGTCTCAGGCTGCAAAGGCGTTTCCGCTTCAACGGGGCAGAGTTTCTGAAAAGGCTGTTGAATCAAAAAGTCGTGTCTGGAGATTCAATGCAGTCACAGCCTTGAACTTACCGAAGTCGATGTTCTGAGCAGCTTCCGCAGCTCGTCGATCTCGGTGATCACCACTAAAGAGGAAATTTTTCGGGATATGCTCTCAATTCACCTACCATTGGCAAGCGAGAAACCGGGGTCCGACGGATTTCCGGGCACCTCTGCCCGACACGATCGGCACCAAACGCCATAGAACTTTGAGGCACCGCGCAAAAAGGGCAGAATTCTAAAGGGAATGGTGAATACAAGATGGCTGAAAGAATTGTCGAAAAGGCAAAAAGTAAAAAGCGTCCTGAAACGACAGTTTGCAAAAACGTACCCCCGTCGTTCGGAGACGCGCTGCTTCACATAGCATCCTTTGCACATATCATGCCCGCAGGTCAGCAGACAAGCCTGCTTGTTCTTCGATGAAGCTCCCACGTCGGCTTCATCTATCAGGTTGGAACGAAAGTTCTGTCGCCGAGATTTTGGAAGGCTGGCTAAATTCGTAGATAGCTCCATTCTACACATGCGATATGTCATTTTGTAGCTCTCGGTCTGAATGGTTCCGGGAGGAGGGTCCTGGGCCCTCAAAATCAAGAACGGCCGAGATACCGGCCCAAGAAGATTTTTCAAAAATTACGAGAAAGTGTTTTTGCAAGTTATTTCTGCATATAGACATTTGCATGCGATACCTTTAACGCCAATCGATAGCTCTTGAGGAGTAGATATCGATAGATGTTGAGATCATCAAATTTGGACACTGGATCGCCGAGATATGGCCTCTTGAAATTTGGCCCATTTCTTAGAACTTTTCTTGAAATCCCATACATTTTTTCAAAATCCACTCCGCTAGTCCAAAAATCAAGCGGTAATTTTCGGCACCTATCCGTCAAATGTTTGCAAATGTATGGGATTTCAGGAAAAGTTCTAAGAAATGGGCCAAATTTCAAGAGGCCATATCTCGGCGATCCAGTGTCCAAATTTGATGATCTCAACATCTATCGATATCTACTCCTCAAGAGCTATCGATTGGCGTTAAAGGTATCGCATGCAAATGTCTATATGCAGAAATAACTTGCAAAAACACTTTCTCGTAATTTTTGAAAAATCTTCTTGGGCCGGTATCTCGGCCGTTCTTGATTTTGAGGGCCCAGGACCCTCCTCCCGGAACCATTCAGACCGAGAGCTACAAAATGACATATCGCATGTGTAGAATGGAGCTATCTACGAATTTAGCCAGCCTTCCAAAATCTCGGCGACAGAACTTTCGTTCCAACCTGATAAATAACGTATTTTGCTGATTCATGATACCATTGTATTTTTATAGTGTTCAGAGTAGTTTTCAATCCCTGGACAATTTGAAAATTGGATCTTTTAATCATTTTTAAAAATTTTTGTTAAAAATATGGTAAATTTTCAAATTGCATCCAATTTTTACGCGCTTTTTTCTACCTAAAACATACAAACAAAAATGGCTTATGTTTCGTTATAATTTCTTACAATCTGTGGAAAGTTCGTCCCCCCGCTCACAATCCAGTATACAAAAAAATACTTACAGAGTTCCTCGCACACGCCGCAATGCAAAGATGCCAATTCTTGGGGTCGTGGCTGAAAAATGTAGTTAAAGCAAAAAAAATGTTTTTACCGGCACCCAAATGCCGGTTAACTTTCGGGTCTGCTTCGAGAATTGGGCGCGATGGAAGCCGAGCTCGGAGATTAGACCTGAAAGGTCTTGGTAAGTTTTTTCTTTCATACCGCGGCTTCTCTTTGTCCTAGAGGGCTGTAAAGTATACCAAAATGTTCATCTTGATCTAATTAATAAGAATCCATTACATTTCAGTGCAAAAATAGCGTAATATGAAAAAATCTGAGGCTGAAAGGCTAGCTGTGTTTCAGTTCCACTAGCCCGGCTCCTCCGCCATACGTCTTATTAATGTGCCAGCTATCGTCAAATATTCGGCATGGTCGAAAACTTATGGAAACGTTGTTTTCCTACTTCGAACTTCGAGAAAAATGTGCTAAGTTTTTTACAAAATCAATTTTTTTGACATACCTTTAAAGTATTTTTTTAAAAATTCAATATCGACTCTGCCGTCATTTTTTGAAAACATCGGAAGTTTAAAAAGCTTACCCATCAACAAATGCGGAGTTACCGGCTGGGAAAAGCACGACACCGGGTCAGCGGGGTCGGGCTGGCGACGGTGGCGACGATCCCAACAAGTTCGGCAGAGGACGCGGCCGCATTTGAGTTGGACGGGCTGCTGGGGAGATTCGTCGACGCAGGAAACTAAAGCAAAAAAAAATCATAATCGATACAGAAAAGGTAAAACAACGTAAAAACGCCGTAATTTGTAATGTAATGGTGTAAGCAATGATAAATTTGGCTTAAACTGAAAAACCTACAGCAATTCCCACATTGCGGGCAGAGCAACGAACGGAGTGCAGAGCGGAGCACGGACATTTCGGGGATATCGTTTCTTCTAAATGAAGCGTCAAGTAGATGGGGCGGTGGTTTGCGAGCAGGTGGTTCCGGGGATGCCCTGTGGCATTTCCTGGGCCTGATAGTGCGAAATTAAGCAACCACTTGCCGACACTAAACGCTCTTTCTACTTTCTCTACCTTCCGCCGATGTTCATGCACTAAAAACCTCCCAATTTTGCGACGGGAAGATGGAAAAAATGATAAATAGCGTAGATTAATTTACATAAAAATCACCCATGTAAACCTATAATCACGATCCAAGCCATTGTAATGTTGGACCGGCTGCTATTTGAGGTGACGCAGGTAGAACGGGATTTGAACTGTTTCAAGTAGTGGTTGTAAGCCAGCGTCAGTTCGGCTTGACCTAAAAATCAAGATTAACGTTGTAAAAGGTGTAAAGCAGGGAAATAAAAAACTTGTTGAGGATGGCGCAGAGGACTATCAAGCGCTTGGCTGTCACCTGGTGCTCGTCGTTATCATTTTTATGGTTGGTCAGGGTTCAGGCTTAGGCTTGCCTTGGCTTAGGCCTAGACTTAAGCTTAGGCTAGGCTTAGACTTTGCTTGGGCGTAAGCTAGGAGTAATTCCGTTTTTTTTTCATTCAGGTCTACGAACCGCTGATCCTCGGGCTCTTCCTATTTGCGCTGTGGCTGACCAACAAGTGGGCCGACGACGAGGTATTGCTTACTAAAAATTATTACAAAAACTTTCTTCAACGACTTGCTCTAATGCCGGCCATTCCCTTCTTGACCTTGTTGCAGACGTCCGCCCAGCTCCTCTGGCCGTCCATCTTCACCGGCGTCGGGCTGGCCACGTATCCGATGGTGCCCGTGTCGGTGGTGACGGAGAGCGCCTACCTCACCTACTGTGCCTCGACGCGGGCCATCGTCATTACGCTAATGTGAGCTGAGCATAAACTAAGCCTACGCTAAACGTAAGCTAAGCTTAGTTAAGCTTAAGTTAAACCTAAGCCTAAGCTAAGCCCAAAAGCCTCGTTTGATGCGATTGTCTTATAGATCGGCGGCCAGCGGCTTCATCTACTTCGTCGTGATGAGCGGGTTCGCCTCAACAGGTATAAATATTCAAAAACTAAACAAAAACCATTAATTTCAGTGCTTTCGCTGGTGATGGTGGGGCTCAGCTGCTTCTACGCGCTCAGCTTCCACTTTTTGGCGCGCGTATCGGCGTATTTTGTGTCGCGCTACGTGTGGGTTTCTCGCTCTCTCTCTCTCTCTCACTCTCTCTCTCTCTCCCTCTCTCGCTCCCTCACTCTCTCGATCCCTCTCGCTCTCTCTCTCTCTCTCTCTCTCTCTCTCTCTCTCTCTGTATCTACTTTTAGCGGCTACGATTCGGCGGACCCGCACCTGATGGCCGCCCTGGGCCTTGATGCCCCCAGCCACAAACGCCCCTCGGCCGGCCAGCGAATCTGGGATCTACTCCGCGATGCCTGACATCTTCAACACGTTCACCCGCACCCCCAAATTAAGCTCCTCATTTATACTGGACAAATACAATGCATTAATGGCAATAAATTGTTGGCTAATTGGCTGGCCGTTTCTTGGCTTATTTCGAGCCGTACTTGGCGACCAGGGCGTCGACGTGGGCGATGTACTTCTTCTTCGCGTCGTCAGAGCTGGTGCCTGCAGAGGGGGGGTTTTGGTGGCTAGTGTGTTTTTACGGGAGATAGCGCATTTTCAAGAGCATTTTCGCTATCTAATCTTTTTAGAAAAGGTATTTTCGCAGTTTTTAACTCGGTCTCCTAAGTAAATTTTGAAAGCAGATTTGGAATCAGAGAAAAATTCTGTACCAGATATGATATGTCCCGAAGGGAATTTTCAACGTATTCGAAAATACAGTAGTAGTAAAAAACGCACCCTTCTTGCCGTCCCAAGCGGTCCACTTGGCCTTGCCCTTCGGGTCGAGCATTCCTGGCTTGGAGGTGGTGTTGTCGCCGACCTGGAAAAGCCCTCTCTATCGCTCTCTCTTACTCTCTCTGTCTCTCTCTCTCTTTTTCTCTCTGTGTCATTTTCCAAGAATAACTGAATTACTAACCGTTGCCTGCTTGTAAAGGGCGTACGTCTCGAGGAGCTCGTCGTTGCTCGGCGAGCCGGCCAGGTGCTTCACACGTTCGGCGGCGTCTTCGAACTGTAAAATAGAATCATCTCTCCCTTTCACCCGCTCTCTCTCTCTCTCTCTCTCTCTCTCTCTCTGTCTCTCTCTTTCTCGCTCTCTCTTTCATTCTATGATCCAAATTTAGCACTTACAGTCATTTTGAATGCGGCGGCTCGTTGATTGCAAGTTCCCTAAAAGCGAAATAATCTTATACAAACACGCGTAAATCGAACAACATGAAAATAACTAAAAAAACATAAAATTTTCAGTTCCCAAAAAATCTCTGCAACCTTGCCAGGGACTTTTGGGTGGAATGGCCCTGGTAGGGGCAAAGAACAAGAGGGGATTGTCAGCAGAAACTGCGGGCCACGATTCTTGGTGGTATGGACAGATTTATGCTGACTGCCCCGATCCGGCTTCTTCCCGTCCTGCTGGGGTGATAAGCGATAAGAGGCACCTACTAGCCGAGAAATCGAGATGCCAAATAAGCCGACTCACACGTTTCGGGAAGCCGATGGTGACAGTTTATGTGCGGGGGACGGTTTTTCCAGGGATCGGCATCGCGAGGGGCTGCTAGCAGAGACCATTGAGGAGGATTAGCAAAGACCATTGGGGAGGGCTAGCAGAGACCATTGAGGAGGGCTAGCAGAGACCATTGGGGAGTGCTAGCAGAGACCATTGGGGAGAGCCAGCAGAGACCATTGAGGAAAACTAGCGACGACCATTGGGGATGGCTAGCAGAGACCATTGAGGAGGCTAGCAGAGACCATTGGGGGGGTAGCAGAGACCATTGAGGAGGGTTAGCAAACACCATCGGGGGGGGTCTAGCATAGACTATTGGGGAGCTGCATTTTCGTGTGGTTAATCATGAAGAACAACCTTGATATAAACAATTTATTTCAATTTTATCGCAAAACGGGTAATTTAAATTTTAAAACTTGGAAAGCGGGAGGCCAAAAAAAATTACTATAGGGAGAGAAAAGGCACTTATTTTGGTGATTCAGTTAATAAAATGAAAATCTCAACAAATCACACTAGAATCTGGGGGGTGGGGGGTGGGGCGTTGCGTTGCGTGTGCGCGGCGCGGAACGGATTGCACTTTAAGGGCAGATGACAGGATTGGCAAGAAATGGATACGAGTACGGTAGAGAGGGCGAACGGGATATTTTTGGAATTTTGGAAAGTTGCCGAATTTGGGGTACGGTAGGGTGCGATAGAGTACGATAGGGTACGGCGGCGTACGGTACCGTACTAGATTGCACGGCAAAAGAAACGGTTACGGTAAGAGGAAGATACTGTACTTTAGGATGATTAACGGTACGGTAAACTAAGGTGGTCTACGGCAAGACGATAAGTACGGTAAGAAATTGCAAGTACGTTTGAGTACGGTGGTTTACGGAAGAGTACGGTAGAGTTCAGTGAAGTACTTTAGTTTTCGTTGAAGTACACAGGTCCCATAAAACGCAATGTGTACGATAAAAGTACGCCAAAGTACAATAGAGTACGCGAGGATACGGTAGCTACGATTGCGAGGATATTGCCGAAAATCATTCAGAAGAGGAAGGATTCTCGTGGGGCTCCTCGCCGGCCGCCTCGTTGCTCTGGTCCACCTAAAAATTCAGGGGTAAATTTTTCGATTAGCTGTAAAAATGCCCTCAGCTGCCGTACCTGGTTTTTCCGGTACTTTAGGATGGCGTTCAGCTCAGCACGTGACTTTGTTTGATACTGAAAAATAAAAATTTTTTATTAAAAAATTAACAAATAAAAAATTGCGTTTTTCGTCCCCTTTTTTGCTGCGGCCGATTGGTAGTGTACCAGACTGCCAGGCTCACGACCCGGGTTCGAGTCCCGCCCGTGGCAAGCCTTTTGCTTTTTGGCCGACCACTTCCCGGTTCCTTTAAAATCACAGAAAACGTACGTTGCTGCGGCTCTTCTCGACGAGAAGCTGTGAGTAGAGCCGGGCGCCTTCTTCTTTGCCGGCAGCCCGCTCGAGGGCGGGCTTCGAGAGGGAGAAGAGAGCAGCACCGTCCTGCTCCTCGAGCAGCTCCATTAATCTGAAAGAAGGTATGTCTCTCGCTCACTCATTCTCTATCCCTCCCTCCCTCTCTCTCTCTCTCTCTCTCTCTCTCTCTCTCTCTCTCCCTCTCTCTCATACCTCATCGAGAATCCCTTATCCTGTAGCCACCGCTGAACACCCGGTCCATCAGTCGCCTCAGTCAACTTGACGTTCGATTTGAGCTGCTAAAATTTAAACAATTGGTGGCTTGGGTGGTAAATCCCTTTAAAAACGTACCTTGGCTCCATGGAGAATCTTCTGGCCGTCAGCCTGGCCGATTGTGCTCACGATCTGCTGGACAAGGGCTTCTTCTGAATCACGAATTGTTGCGGCGAGAGAGACAGAGAGAGGAGAGGGAGAGAGTGTGAGAGAGAATGAGAGAGGGAGAGAGAGAGTGAGAGAGAATGAGTGAGAGAGAATGAGTGAGCGAGAGAGCACTAGATACGCTTACCCCCAGCCATCCGCCTCGTCACTTGAATTCGCGGCTTCGGGTCCTCAAGCCGAGGCGGTCGTTCTTGCTAAAAAGTGTTTTTAGCAAAAACAATTTTTAAAATAAAGTGAAAATAATTTTATTAAAAACATTTAAAGAGAATTTTTACATTAAATTTCTCAAAAATTCCTGCAAAGCAGGAGGACACTAACCGCGGGGCGCAGCTTGTGGTGCAGTATCTGCTGCTCAAAGTTGTTGATCGGGGGCGGGGCCTGAAAGGGGGTTATTGGGCGGATTAAAGGGGCTGGTAATGCAGATCAGCCCATGGATTCTCTTGGCAATAGCCATCTTAGTTAAACGTGCAGTTCAACGTACCGGAATGGTGGGGATGGGCGAGAGGGCCATCTCCGGCACGTTCGCCTGTACGCCAGCGTCGACGATATAGCGGGGAGGGGCTAAAACGAGTTACGGACTTGCGAGTGCCTTTAAAAACGAGAATGTTGCCGAAACTGTTTGGTTTTCGAAGCCATTAAAGGGATTTTCGAGTAATCTCTAGCTTTAGAGGGATTGTAACACTAAGATTTTTAAATTTAAAGGTGCTGTGACACCTATTTTCACCAGGAATGAAACTTTAAAGGGATGGTAACACAGTTCTTCAAATCACAGTTTTGGGTTTTCAAGGCGTTTCGATATCTATTTTATTCTAGAATCCCAATTTAATAGTCCGGAAACAGTGAATTCTTCCAGAAATTCAACCTTAAAGGGGGGGGGGTGACACCCTTGTCCTCCGACAAAATTTGATTTTAACGGAACCGTAGCGGCTCGCTTGATCCTGTTTTAAATTCCAAGGCAGTTTTGATACCTATTTTCAAGTAGAACTTAATATTAAAGGGGTGGTGACATATATTTCCTGCCTGAATGTTGTTTTAAAGGTGTGCTGACAGCGGTTTTCATCCCGAATTTAATTTTAAAGGGATGATAAGAGCTAACTTGCGCTAGAATTCCACTTTCAAAGCACGGGACCCGATTTACAGCGTCGATTTTTAACTTTAATGGGAGAATGGCAGGTATTTTCAGAAAAATATCAAGTTTGAAGTGGTTTTTCCAAGTGTTTTTCCTTAGTTTTTAAAACGCATTTTTTAGGGCAACGTCCCGGGCTCCAAGACGCGTCACGTGTCGATAGTACACTCGCGGAAAACTATAAACGCTTTATCTCGACACTTACAATAAGCACAAAGGAGGGAATTGTGTGTGGGTGTGGGGGGAGGTGAGGATGGGATTTCCAGGAGGGAGAAGGGATACGGTGGTGGACAATCGGCCATTTGGGGGCGTACGGTAGCTCCGCACGAAAAATCCAGGTAATAAATATATTTTTGAATATATGGATCCATCTCGAAGCGAAAAAAATAAGAATGCGAAGTAACTGCGAGAGTAAGGCACCAAAAAATGGGGGGCATGAGGTGGGGAGGCTTAGGCTTAGCCAAGGATTCGCTTAGGTTTAGCTTAGAATTTGCTTAGGCTGAGGCTGAGGCTTGGCTTAGGTTTAGGCTTGGGCTTAGACTTGAGCTTAGGCTTAGGCTTAACTTAAGCTAAGCTTTGGGAGGCCAGGTATATAGAAATTTGCATATCACAATGGGGCACAGAGGGTTGAGGGGTACGGCAGGGTACGATGGGGTACGGTAGCTGTCGCTGCGGGACCCCGTGGGTTGAGCAGGAGTGGGAAAAGGAAAAGAGAAAAAGGATAGAAAAGGCTGTGCAGGGGTGTCATGCGTACTCGACTCCGGTGAGGGAGGAGGTGGGTGAGAAGGAGGAGGAAAAGCTCAATGCCCTGAGCGGGGTACGGTAGGGAGGGTAGGGGCGCGAAATAGAAAACGATGGGCAAAGGGGGCCGAGTTGTAGTGTGACAGGTGTAGTTTGTGGTTTACAGCTCTTTAAATTACACTCCCTAAAGCTGAACTACAGGCTACAGGGTTACGGTAGCCAGAGCACGTGATAAAACGAAATTTTTTAAAATCGTCTGGTTCATCTGGAAAATGTAGATGTAGTTTGTAGCCAGCTGTAGCAGCCCGCTAAAAACTACAGGCTACAAACTACAAACATCAAACTACAAAAAATTTATGCTAGATTTTGAGATTTTCAGACTACAAGACTCCAAACTACAAACTACAACTCGGCGGCAATGAGCAAATCGCGGTAAGGGAGCATTTCTTCGAACTGAACATTTTTTCCTTTGCAAAACCGATCACATAGGATGGGGCACAAAAAGCACATAGGGAATATAGCATCGGACAGGACGGCGAGGGCTACGGTAGTCGGCGCCGCCGCGCTAGAAATAGCGGAACTCGCCGCGCCGCCCCTGGCGCTGCTTGACGTAGGCGGGCGCGTCTTCGGGGAGCATACCTCGAGGAGCCTGACCCGGGGAGATGCCACCACCGCCTGGCGGCCCTCCGTAGCCGTTCAGCCCGGCGTGGCTGCCCGCCGAAATGTTGCCGTTGTGCAGGGGGCCGGAGCTCTGAAACGGGTTGATTACGGTAAAAATTAGAATTTTTTGGTTTTAAAGGAACGTACAAGGCATGAGTATGGCTTTTTGGGTTCTGGTGCCTTAGCGGGGGTGATTTTCTGTTTCTGGACCAAATTGCCAAAATCTGCGCTCCTTACCACAGCCGGTCCGACATAGATCTCCTCTCCGGCCATCTGCGGCGAGCTTCCGTCAGCCGGCACAACCGTCAGGATCGTGTGCGGGACGTAGCCGACTCGGTTGTGCATATTCTTGCACTCCCACCAGTTCTTCGTGTCGTTCAGCACCTAGAGTGGGTGTTGAACTCCTTGAATTCGACGGGTTTCGGGCGATCTATGACAATACAAGAATCGGGACTCACTTCGAGGTATTCACCGCGCGACACCGTTAGCTCTTTCGGGTTCTGGGCCACACGGTCGTAGGTAGCTTGTACGAGTTTGCATCTGGAAAAATGGGGTTGATTGGAGATGGTATTTGAAGGAACTGCAGTTTTCTCGCTTTCTCCATAGCTCTCTCCCTCTCTCTCTCATTCTCTCTCTCTCTCTCTCTCTCTCTCTCTCTCTCTCTCTCTGGCTCTCCCTTTCGCTTTTCAATAACGAGCCCAAAACTATCATGGGTAAAAATTTATAGCCATTCAAAGCGAGGGAATTGGGGGTAAGGCTTAAAATTTTCCGTTACCTCCTATTGACGACATCCTGAACGAATGCCCGTTGCCTCGGCGACTGATCAGGATCATTGGCGATCGATGGGGGCAGTGGCTGAACGTCTCGCCGCTCCGGGATGGGCGACGGCTGCACGGACGGCTCGCTGGAAGAGCTACGGTAAGGGTGACGCGGTATAGGGCTCGGGTTAGGCCGGGGGTATCCGTGGGTTACTACGGGGTAGCGGGGGAGTCCTAGTGGTAATATTGCTAGCCGGGAATGCGGATTAAAGGGAGCGTGACAGGACGCGGCACGACTATCGACAACTGGTTTCAGCGGAAACTTACAAATCGCGGTGGCCGCGCTGGTAGTGGCCGCTGGAAATGGGGGTGTTTTTGGGGAATTTGCATTTAAATGGTCCTTTAAAGGTCAGTGCTAAATTTGTCATTTCTGACTTCAATAGCCCTTTAAAAGCTCAAAATAGCCAATTATTTGAACTACAGTAACTCCAAGGCTACAAAAAAATTCCGCACCGATACGCGGGCCCGGTGGAGTTGGTGCGCTCGCGGTGGATCATCTCGGTCTCCTTCTTCAGCCGCTCCCGCTCTTCCCTGAAACATGAAGCGTTACCGTAACCCTCCAGAATTCACATACCGTACTCGCTGCTCCTCCTCCTCCAGGCGACGCTGCCGCTCGCGAATCTTCTCCTTCTCAAACTCGAGCCGCTCTTTTTCGAGTGATAGCCGGCCGATGTCCAGCTGAAATAGAGACTTGGGCTTGGGCTTGGGCTTGAGCTTCAACTTGAGCATAAGCTCAGTCTTAGCTCATGCTACGCTTGGCCTTGGGCTCATCCAATTTTCGTTGCCAAAACCGAGGAGTAACCCCCATGCTTCATGCCGATGCACAACAAAGTACACGCACTACGTCGCACGCCAAATGACGAATTTAGCATTTTTTTGGGAAAGTTTGCTTTGAATTTAAGCCGTGGAAACGCAGGGGAAAACGTGGATACGGGAGGGTTTTTTCAGGGGATACGGTAGGGGAAAAATGGAATTTAGGGATCGGTTTTTGTGGTTTATGACGTTGTGGGTCTAAATGGAGCTAGTCGAGATGTTTTCCAGCCTTGACAGAATACCTTCTGACACTAAAAACTGCTCTAAAACCAAAATTTAAAGCTAAAAAGTCCATACATTATTTTTTACGGGTTCGCCTAGTGGTTAAGCTCTCGCTTGTCAGCCACAAGGCCCAGGTTCGAGTCCCACCCGTGCCAAACTTTTTGCTTTTTGGTGAAGTAGTTCAAAATTGGTTTCGAAAACAGGCCACAATCCACAAAATCCGAAAAGGAAAAGATACGGGGAAAGGAAAAAGGGGCAACTTACGTTGTCGACGGACATGTTCCGCTGCGGCGGGCGTTGTTGCGTAGCGTAGCGTTGGGCGGCCGGGGTTGATGGGGCCTGATGGGGGATAGGGAGTGGATAGACGACGGAGGGTTAGCAGAGGACAGACAGGTTTGGGCTTAGGATGTTAGAATGGACATAAAACTCGCGATCCAACCGAGGTGAAGCCGACACCAATCACCACACGTTTTCAGGCGCTGATGGCTTGGCTTCTGCTTTTTCAAGGGCCATTGAAGCAAAATCCATAACTTTTTCCAAGCCAGCAGCCCCTGGTCCAACATAAATCGTGACCACCTACCGTATCAACGGTCCGTTCGCGGTTCCGGTAGGGTGCCGGGGGCTCGGAGACGCCACGGTGGATTGTGGCGTCGTTGCGCGAGGGACGGGGCTCCGGTGGGCCTGGAAATTTGATGGATTCTTGAATGATCCCTGCTGGATTGCCTGGGAAAGAATTCACCAAGGGATCGCTGCGCTCGCCTCGAAATATACGCAGATTCATCAAATTTATTTGCTGGCTTGCCTTTTCAAGAGATTCCTCAAGAATCTCTGCTAACTTGGCGGATATTTTTAAAGGAGGGAGCTAGTTTGCTGAGGTAACATTCCTGAATATCTCTGCTAGCTTTCCCCTTGCTTGGAGGCAGCTTCCCCAAGGTCCCCCGCCAGTTTTGGTTCTGGTGCGTTAGCGGGGGGAAACTCGTAATATAGGCGGTCCCAATAAGGAAAAAGCAGTGAGTGTGCCCCCCGCTAGCAAATCAGAACCCCCTGCTTGTCTCCTATTTTCGGGTCCCCTAATTCCACAATTCTCCCTGCTAGCTTGCCCAGCCCCTGGATCCCCAAATTCCCCAAGAATCTCGGCCAGCCCTCCCCCTACCGTATGGCGCGAATCCGTCGAGGAATACAGGTTTGTAGGGGGCTGGTAAAGGGCCGGGCCAATCCTCAGGTGGTGTCCGCCATGCTTCTCCCAACGACAGCCACGTGTCCATTTCCTTCGACGTCAAGCAGTTCTGCATCAATTCCCGGGCGTCGAGTGAGAGTAGGGGCGAGACAATCTGAAATTTTTAAAATTTTCTATAAAAAACGCTTAAAATGCAAAAAGGAAAAAATTTGGCACGTGCGGGGGTTGAACCCGGATCTTGTGCCCGACAGGCGAGAATTTATCCATTTGGCTACAGGAGTAGGCCAGTTTTAACCTGTTTGTAAGCGTTTTTTTGTCAAACTCGTAAATCTAGCCAGTTTAAAGGGTCACAGAATTAATTTTGTCAAACTGTAGGCGTACGAAACCCGTCCAAAACTCGCCCCACCTGAGGTGCGATATTCCTGCCCAATCCCCAGTGCGACGCGTCGAGGATGACGTTCAGCGGCGAGAAGAGGAAATGCACCAACTCGGGCGCGTTCGGCTCATGGATGTGGTTGCGCAGTTTGGCGAGCAGGTTGAAGGAAAGCTTGAATTTTCGGAGCACCTCCACGAACTCGGCCTCGAGCGGGAGCTGGGCACGCATTTGGAGGATGCCATGAGGGTCGGGGGCCGGGGCACGCTTGTCGCGACGTTGGGCCGTGCGGTAGCTGAACAAAGGGGTTAGAGTGAGAAGGAGCGAGAGAGCGAGAGAGAGAGAAGAAGAGGGAGGAGAGAGAGCGAGAGAGCAATAGAGGGATTCGCGCGAGAGAAAAAGTAAAAAAAACCCACCGATGCGCCTGCTGCTCCAACTCGCGCTGCGCCAGCGCCGCGCTCTGTATCCGCGCCACGAACCGCTCGATGTCGTCGAAGCAGCGGTTGAGGGTATTCTAATCGATTCGCGATAAAATTCAAGAAATATTGACTCACGACATCCCGCTCGAACATCTCGCTGCTGTCGGACGCCACGGAGACGTCGTCGCCGAATTGTGGGCCTGGGTAGCCTGCAAATCACAGGGTTTTTCAAAGTTTTCATCCCTTTAAAAGGTTAGCAAAGTCACACAAGCATTAATAGAAGTTATACAAAATCTATGTCTCTGCTAGCTTGCCTCATTCCCCAAAGGTCTCTGCTAATCTGCCTATTCCACAGGAGGTTCTGCTGGCCTGTCAGTTCCACAAAGATCTCGGCTAACATCCTATCTTTAAGGCCTCGTTTATCTTCCCAAATAAACTCTGCTGGTATGCCCTCCTATTCAGAATTCCGCAAAAAATATCTACTAGCGTGTAACTGCGTGAATGCTCCCTGCTAGGATGCCTTCTTAAACATTTATGGTAGTATCTGTCTCACTCACTCTCTCTCGCTCTCACTCTCCTTCTCTATCTCTCTCCCTATCTCTCTCACTCTCTCCATCTCTCGCTCCCACTGCCGCTCTCTCTTCTCTCTGTCTCTCTCTCGATCGTTCTCGCTCTCTCGCTCTCTCGCTCTCTCTCTCTCTCTCTCTCTCTCTCTCTCTCTGTCTCTCGCTCTTTCTCCGTCTCGCGCTCTCGCTCTATATCTCTCTCTCTGTTATGAAAATTAGCCTTCCACACGTCACACCTCAAATCTGTTAGCCGGACCGGGGCATTTTCCCAAATCTCAGGGCACCTTAATAGCCCAAATTTCCGTGCCCCGGCCCCAAGTTATCTCACGCGCTTCCCTTTACTTTTCTTTGCCTGCAGCTTCTCACCCTGCGCGGCAGCAGCCGGATATCCACCTCCTCCTCCGCCTCCCACCGTACTCGACGTACCGCTGCGTCGTCCATTTCGCACCTAAAGTCATGAGTTTATTCGGGTTTTAGCTTTCTAGAAACTATATGTTTTGACAACAACACACCACAGCAAGCTATGCATAATGTTGGGGGTTTATGTTTTTGAATTTTTATTTTCTAAATTTTTCGTTTTTTTTCGCCTAACTTAATTGGTTACATTTTAACGCATAGGTCCCAAAATATGGAAAAATTGGCGGTTTTACGTTAAAATATACATAATTAATACTTCTGATGAAATAAATACGCAAAATCCCTCGGTTTTTCAACGTTTTTGGCACAATTTTTTGTTTTTGTTCCACCGTATTCCAATTTTTTGGACTTGGACCGCCTTGAAAATGAATTTTTTATTTAAAGGTAATTTTTTCAGATTTTCAGAATATTTTAATTTTTCTACACTTTCTAGGCGCAACGACACGTTCTACAGGGTGGTCCAAAAAAAAAGTGAAGTTTGCACTGAAATATCTCGCGAACGGAAACGAATCGGACCATCGTTACCTTGCCAGAATGCTTAAATATGCTGGGCATGAAGAAATAACACAAGTTGTTTTTTAAGATTTTTGACGACCAGTGGGTCGTTAAAAAGTTTTGAACATTTTTAAAAAAGTAGAAAACTTTGAAGCGATAAAGTATGCAACTTTTTATGAGTTAGAGAGATTTCAAGGGTATCAAAATGAAGCTCTTGGAATGCGCTATCAAACGAGTGGTAAAGAATTTCGATCGGTTTAACTAGCCGTCAATAGGAGCGTTTGGAAAATCCGTACTTTTCTTGGCATCAAAAAATTTCAAATCGCGATCAAAAATTTTTTTGGCACTTGGCCAATTCGGCCGAATTTGTAAGTTCTAGGCTCCTTTAGTTAAAATTATAGCATGGTTATCTTTGGCAAACAGGATTGCATGTAATACGTACAAAAAATTTGGGAAGCAAGGTGCTTTTTATGGTCAATTCGGAGGCGCCCATTCCGGAAAAGTACGGATTTTCCGAACGCTCCTATTGACGGCTAGTTAAACCGATCGAAATTCTTTACCACTCGTTTGATAGCGCATTCCAAGAGCTTCATTTTGATACCCTTGAAATCTCTCTAACTCATAAAAAGTTGCATACTTTATCGCTTCAAAGTTTTCTACTTTTTTAAAAATGTTCAAAACTTTTTAACGACCCACTGGTCGTCAAAAATCTTAAAAAACAACTTGTGTTATTTCTTCATGCCCAGCATATTTAAGCATTCTGGCAAGGTAACCATGGTTCGATTCGTTTCCGTTCGCGAGATATTTCAGTGCAAACTTCACTTTTTTTTTGGACCACCCTGTATCTAAAGGGGGCAGGTAAGGGAGCAGGGGGGTTATCTGCCCTTTCTCCTCTCACATGGTAAATATTACTGAGGTGACGGTGGTGGTGCCGACGGCGCATCGGCTGCGAAGGAGGCGATTTTTATTTTATCAAATTTTTAAGGTTTTCAAGCTGAGCTACAAGTAGATGAACATTGAAAAATGGCTTCAGCGATCTGGTTGCCAATAGGAAAATGCGTACACACCTTTTTGAACTGGCCGCGGATGTAGTGTTGAAGATCTTCGGCCACTTCGGTTGCTGTCACCCGAGCACACTGGAAAGAAGTGTTTACTTTCTCGCTATCTGTCGCTCTTCCTCGAGCTCACGTTTTCTCTATAGCTTTCTCTCTCTCACTCTCTTCCTCTCTTCCTCTCTCTCTCTCTCTCTCTCTCTCTCTCTCTCTCTCTCCCTATTTCTCGCTCGCTCCTTCTCTCTCGCTCTCGCGCTCTCGCGCTCTGTCTCTCTCTCTGTCTCTCTCTCTCTCTCTCTCTCTCTCAATCTCTCCCGCCGTCGTTTTGTTTTGATAATTTTCATTATATTCTACTCCTCTCCGAAAATCGACAATTCCCCGGCTCGAAATTCTGGGTGCTTGCTAGATTGCTTTGTCTTATCAACCCCTCCCCCCGCATTGTGGATGGGTTCCTACGGCGAAAATTCGGAATCGATCCAATCTGCACTCGTGCTCCCCTCCTAATCGGCCAGATAAAGCCCCCTTACCCCAATTTATTGCCTATCACATTCCAATCCCTCCCCTCCAACACCGGAAAGGGAATCGTTAGGGGAGATATATAGGGGCAGAATTGGAAATACATGCCTTCTCGGTGTATAACTGTATATAACTGGTCTCATTTCCTGATCTGAATTGGGCAAAAAGTCAACCGGTTACGCTATGAAAAAAACGAAAGCCATTTAGGCCGGTTCTCAAATTAGGGTTTCATTTGTGCCTTCCTGCTTCATATGTAGTGCTGCCCTGTGCTCGTGCTCACCTGGAAGATGTGCATCTCGGTGGGGGTGGTGTGCTTCCGGCCCTTCGTATCCTCGCGGACTACGAACAGCAAAATGTTGTTGTAGGAATCGCGGGGATCACTGCTCATGTGGGCTGTCGGCTGCTCGACAAGATCAAGCGGGAACGACTCGACGAGTTCCTGGAAAAAGCGTAAGATCAGCATAAATTTTGCCTTTTTTGGCTCTCTCAAGCTCTCTCGTGCTCTCTCGCACTCTCTCGCCGCCTCTCGCTCTCTCCCTATATATCTCGCTATCTCTAGCCCTACGTCTCTACTGCTTCAACTGGGCAAGCCAGCAAGGATTCTTGAGGAAAAATTTGAAGGGGATTCCACAAGAATCAATGCTAGCTTACCCACGCTTTCTCTCTCTCCCCGACCTACCCCATTGTCATTTTCGACGGAAACGATGTCGCGACGCAGACGCAACACCATAGGCTGGGCCCAAATGGCCGACGATCGCTCCATCTGCTTCAATTTCCGGATCCCGTCGGCCGGGGCGACGAGCCCGAATTGTCTAAAATCTCGATTTTATGCAATTTTCCAGCGAGGTAACTAGCATTCGTTATTTAGGACCACGGGGTTCTTTAGAGGACCGTTTTCAGAAGAAGCCTCACCTGCCGACAGCAAAAGTGGCCAGATGCTCCACGAAATACGAAGGCGTCTGCTCATCCATGGAGGGCCGATGGTCTGAGACCCGCGAGGGGCCACCGCGAGCTGAAAATGAAGGGGTTGGGGCAGGCTGGCATGGGTTACTGGCATAAGACTTTTTGGGGAATGCTTGATATTGGAAAATTACGAAAAATTTTTGCTATCTCGCTGATTTCCATCTGAAGAGCAAGAGAAATAGGGAGTGAGAGCGAGAGATAGACAAAGGAGAGAGAGAGCAGGAGAGAGAAATAGAGTTAAAAAGAGAGACAGAGAGCGAGAGAGAGAAGGAGAGAACAAGCGAGCGATAGACACGTGAGATAGATCTAGAGCGAGAGAGAGAGAGAATGCGAGGGAGAGAGAACAAAAGTGAGGCAGAGAGAGACCGGAGACTTTTCAGGAGCCAAATATGCCTCTTTTCCTCAAAGATCTCCGCTAGCTCGTTACGGGAAGAGGTAAAAAACGCATAAGGAGCTACAGGGCGCGAGGGAGAAAGAAAATGTGATAGAGCGAAAGAAACAAAAACAAAATTAAAACCAAATTCCAGCAAAAACTCACGCGTATGCATGGGGTGTACTTGCTGGTGATGCGGGTCGTGCTGTGGCTGATGATGTGACCGATAGGAGAACTGTGAGGGCGAGGGGGCAGCTGATGGACCTCGCGATGATGAGGAGTAGTACTGCTGGTGATGCGGTTGCTGCCCGCCCGGCCCGCCCGACGAAGCCACCGGGTTACCGCTGAAAAAAAGAGAGATTAGAATACAGCCTAAAAAGGTAAGATATCGAATATGGAACCATGAAATTACAGACTACTAATTCGTCCTCTCTCTCTCTCTCTTTGTCTCTCCCTCTACCTCTCTCGCTCTGACTCTCACTTCAATCTTAATATTTCTAATACTTCAAAGCAGGAAGCAAATAGTATGAGAAAGGAATGCGGCGCATTGCCCGTAATCTTTGGGCCATCCGCAACATTTTTATGCGCTTGAGCTGGAGAGAGAGAGAGGGAGAGAGAGAGCGAGAGAGAGAAAGACATCGAGAGACAGCGAGAGAGATATGATAGTCGAGTTTACGACCCCTAGTCTGCCAGATTATAGCTTTTCGAAAGATCAAACGTGCTTAGGAATGGCCAGAATTAAAAGATCTGGATATTAAAGGAGCTAGATATCTGAAATTCAAAATTTCCCTAATCGATTACGTGGTGATATTCACGCGTTATTAGGGATTTAAACCGAATTTAGAAGTTAAAGATAGCTAGGTTATAGTGGAGTCGGGGTAGAGGATGAAGGGACAGGAATAACTATCGAGTGGATGGGCACACTTGGCTCGAAGCCAATGTCAATAGGGAGATCCAAAGACAATCATGGCTAAACTGGGAGTGAAGAGATATTTTAGAGCATTAAGGACCGACTTAAAAAAATAGGGAGAGCGAGAGCGAGTGAGAGATAGCGCGAGAGAGATTGCGCGAGAGAGAGCGCGAGAGATAGTGAGAGTGTGAGAGAAGGGGAGAGAGAGAGCGAGAGAGGGATGGGGGATTATGACAAATTCCGATTTCCTGGGCTCGGCTCGGCTCAGTAAGTTCAGGCTTGATGTAAGCTTAGCTTTAGCTTAGGCTTAGGTTTAGCGAGCGTGGGTTCGACTGAAGTTAGGGAGAAAGAACGTGAAAGTGAGATGGAAATAGAGAGAAAACAATAAGCAACAACGCAAAAATGTTGATCTTAAAAACTAGAATCAGTTTTAGCAAAACAACCACCAATAAAGACATTAAATTCGGGATCCGAACATCTTCCACCCATCGAAACATTGGTTGTTGGCCCCCCAGGGCCGGCTCATAATTTGGTTGCTGGGCTCGGGGGTGGGATCGATGGAAAAAGGGAGCGGCAAAAAAGGTGGGACTGGAAAGTCAGTAGATCGTTTGTGTGTGTTTGTATGTGTGTGCGTCTTTGTGTCGATGCAATTAGACGGGGGGCCGAGTGTTGGTCGCTGCCTAGCGGATGGGGATTCGCAGCGTAGAACTGATAAGCTTTTCGCTGGGTTCTTCCCCCCGCTTGGCCCTCCTCTCCTTGTTAAGTTTGTTTGGATAGCAGGGTGGGGGAATTTAAAGGGCCATTGAAGGCATCCGTGACGCATTCTGGAATCCGATTTTGAGGCTAGAAAAAGGGCATTAAGAGTTTTGGGATGGGGATGGGAACGGTGGGAAGTTATTGATGGAATCGGAATAGCGAGAGAGAGAGAGCGCGATAGATAGAACGAGAGAGCGAGAGAGAGCGAGAGAGATGGAGCGAGAGAGATGGAGTGAGAGTGAGCGAGACAGAGAAAGAGAGAACGAGAGAGAGAGAGAGAGAGAGAGAGAGAGAGAGAGAGAGGGGGAAGGAGAGAGATCGATAGATGGAACGAAAGAGCGAGAGAGATATGGCAGGTTAGCATGGATTCTTAGGGAATTTTCGGGAAATAATTGACTTCTGACTTCAAGAGCTATTTTCTATTACTTAGACTTTTAGCCTGCCCTGAAGCACGGAGCGAGTGAGAGACGCAGAGAAAAAAGCCAGCGATAGAGACACTAAAATAATAATTTTACTTTGTTTTATTCGACTGATTTTATCGAAAACTTAATTTTAAAGGGTCGTTGAAGTCTATCCCGGATCGCTGGCAACTTGCCAAATCCCAAAAAATTTCTCTATCGCCTGGAAGTCACTTAAAACCCCGCAAAAGCGATGGAAAACTCAAAGATTCACAACCTGAATCCGCTACACTCCGCAAAAAACGCGTCGTCACGCGTTTTTGCACGAAAAAGTGGGAATCGAGGGGAGGGGGTGATAAGGCACTGGTGGAGCGATGCTAGGCGGTTCGGAGCAACTTTTTGGTCAGCTTAAATCGGCGGGCTTTGGAATTTTGGGGGTGGGCGACCATTAGTCAGAGTCTACAAGTGATAGGGCAATAATATGTTTGCAAATAAGGCAGGGAGAGAGCGACAGAGAGAGATAGTCAGAAAGTCAGCTAAAAACAAGTCAACTACCCCATTTTCCGGTTGACAACCCAAAAATAAAGCCACAAATGGCCGTAGTTGTGCATTGCTATAGAGAGACAGAGAGCGAGAGAGAGAGAGAGAGAGAGAGAGAGAGAGAGAGAGAGAGAGAGAGAGAGAGTGACAGCGAGAGACAGAGATATCTAGCTCGAATCATTCCACCCGGCGGAATCTAGGGAGGGCAATAAAACATAAAAATATGCGCCGGCATCTCGGCGCCAATCGTTTTTGCCCCCCTTACCTTCACTTTAGGGGGAGCGAGACACTGCTAGGTGAAAATTTGGCCGTCAGCCCAGAGGAATGAAGCGGAATGTGGTTTTAAGGGAGCAGCTTGCTGTGTATCTCTTTATCGCGCTCTCTGGCTCTCTCTCTCTCCCTCTCTCTCTGTTTCTCTCTCTCCTGGGCTCTCTCGTTCTCGCTATCTCTCTTTCACTCTCTCTCTTTCTCTGTCTCTCCAGCTTAACAAAATTAGCACTGCCATCTCAAAAAACATTAATTGCTTGAAACCGTAATAACCAACAATAATTTATACATAATGAACTCGATTAAAATCCGGAAAAATCCAAAGTCTGCGCTGCCTAAAATCCAAGCGAATAGCAAAAGAAACACGTGCAAAAATGGATCGCTCTCAAAAAAGGCATAAAAGTCGGCTCGGCGCTCTGTGGGACCCGATAACCTCCCGGGCAAGGCCCGTTTCTGGCGGAGTGTTGTGGAATTTGGGCGTTATCTGTTTCGCTCGCCACCAAAGAGCGAGCGGCCTCGCTTCAAAGGAAAAGCCCGGACATTTCGGCGAACACCCAGCAAAATTTGGTCACTTGGAGTGCGACGTACCCGGGGGTTGCGTCGGCATTTTATGCCCGTTGGCCGGAAATCGCTTTTGAAGATCGCATGAATTATCGGTCTTTCTGTCTCTCTCTGTCTCTCTCTCCGTCTCTCTGGCTCTCTCTCTCTCGTTCTCTCTCCCCCGCTTTCGCTAGCGCTTTTTATGGGGGATCATTGAACTGATCGTGGTGGGGCTTATCGGAATTTATTTTTTGGAATTCCACGATTTACGCCTTGCGTCTATTGGCGCCTTACGTAGTCGGGAAAGATCTAAAAATTACGAGGTGGTTTATAGGGAGGGCCAAAGCAGCTTATAACTAGAGAGAGAGAGCGAGAGAGATAGAGACAGATAGAGATCGAGAGAGAGGGAGTGAGAGAGTGAGTGAGAGACATGGAGAGAGACAGAACGCTGCAAAGAGAGCATCCGCTTGAAAGGGACGGTGCCTCCAAAAGCCAGCAAAGCATTTTAAAGGGGTAGTTCCGGCTAGCCGACCTCCAAAAATAGACAAAAACGAACCGATGGTATCCGCCGGGATCTCGCCGAATCATGTTGGACATCTCGGCCGGCGGCGGTGTGCCCGCTGAGAAGGCTGGAGGGAGCTGGAGAAAAGAAAAACCGCCGGCGAGCTGAAAGAGTTCAAAGTTATGGTCTTCTTGGTACAAAATGGAAAGTGAAAAAGAACACGCTTCTGAAAAGGAATGAACGGTGAGAGAGAGAGTGAGAGCGAGAGAGAGAGAGAACAAGTTACTGAGAGTGCCAGAAAATGACGCCACAAAAATGGTGTGAATGGGGCGGATGAGGCTGATGATCTGAGAGCCGCGTTGCCGCTGTTGTGTTGAACCGGCCATTCGAGTGTGTGGAGGGTGGTTGGGGTGAGCGTCTCTCTCTCTCTCTCTCTCTCTCTCTATCTCTCTATCGCTCTCTCTCTCCTCCCATACAAAAGGCAAGAAGAAGGGGGAACCGGGGGGGGTGAGGATGTCAAAATCCCGCATCCCCCTCAACAGCCACAAAACCAGCCCTAAATCAAAAATTCCATATCTATCGGCTCGTCTCTCTCTCTCTCTCTCTCTCTCGCCCTCTCTCTCTCTCTCTCTCTCTCGTTCTCTCAATCACCTCGAAGAAGCCAAAGCGGAGACTGGTCTAATTTGCATATCATCCCGGAGGGAGGAAGGGAGACACGAGGG